AATTCCTGAGCACAGAGCCAGGAGTATGCCCTGAACACTGCTTGGTGTGGCCCAAAACACAAAAAATTTTAAAAAAAAGAAAAGAACTCTTCCTTTTGTCTTTAATTTCTTTCATCTCTATCACCATCAACATCATCATATTGTTATTAATGTGTACTATTGAGGTTTAATGTGCTCATTGAGGTTTCTCGGGAGTTCAAGATGCCGCTCTGCTTAACGTTCATTGATTTAAAGAAGGCCTTTGATTCTGTTGAGACGGAAGCGGTCATTGAAGCCCTAGCCAATCAGGGCATTCAAGCCCAATACATCAGGATCCTCCGTGAGCTCTATTGCGGATTCACTACCAGGATCTCACCATTCTACAAAGAAGTGATCGTTGATGTCAAGAGAGGGGTGCGGCAGGGTGATACCATTTCACCGAAACTCTTCAGTGCCACCCTCGAGAACATCATGCGACGACTGGAATGGGAAGGAATGGGAGTGAAGATAGATGGTCGGCAACTACACCACCTCCGCTTTGCTGATGACATTGTTTTAATAACACCAAACATCAGCCAAGCGGCACAAATGCTGGCCGACTTTGACCGTGAGTGTGGAAAGGTAGGACTACAGCTGAATCTTACGAAGACAATGTTCATGAGAAACACCCTTGTTCCTGACGCCCCATTCGCTCTCAATGGAACGACCATCTCCGAATGCAACAGCTATGTCTACCTAGGTCGAGAGGTCAACATGACAAATGACCTGGCACCCGAGCTGCGCAGGAGGAAGAGAGCGGCTTGGAACGCCTTCAAGAACGTCGAAGAAATAGCTAAGAGGACGAAGAACCTCCGGCTCCGGGCACATCTCTTTGATTCCACTGTTCTTCCTGCATTAACATATGCCTCAGAGACCTGGGCCCTACGCAAACAAGATGAGAACGCCATTCAGGTCTCCCAAAGAAGAATAGAAAGAGCTATGCTTGGAATATCACGTTTCACTCAAATGAGAGAACGAATCCGGAGTTCTGACATCCGTCGACGATCAAGGATCAGGGACGCTGTCTCATTTGCCAAGGTGTCGAAAATCAGATGGGCTGGTCACGTAATGAGATTTAAAGACGACCGTTGGACTAGAGCTGTTACTGATTGGATTCCACGTGATGTCAAGAGACCGCGTGGCCGCCCACCTACCAGATGGTCAGACTTCTTCGTCAAGATCATGAACGATCGGTTTGAGGCCCTTCATGTTCCCGGAGCGAACAGATGCCATTGGGCTACACTAGCACGCGACAGGGACAAATGGAGACGTTACTGGCGCCCGCTCGAGCAAATCGACGACTAACGGGAAGTTAAGTGATAAGTGATTAAGTGTACTATTATTTAGGGCTGGAGTGATAGCACAGCGGTAGGGCATATTTGGCTTGTGCTCAGCACAGCGGTAGGGCATATTTGGCTTGTGCTCAGCCAGCCCAGCCGAGCTGGGTTCGATTCCTCTGCCCCTCTCAGAGAGCCCAGCAAGCTACCGAGAGTATCTCGCCCGCATGGCAAAGCCTGGCAAGCTCCCTGTGACGTATTGGATATGCCAAACACAGTAACAAGTCTCACGACAGAGACGTTACTGGGCCCGCTTGAGCAAATCGACGAACAACGGGTAGGGCGTTTGCCTTGCACATGGCCAACCCAGGTTCGATACCTCCCTCCCTCTCGGAGAGCCCAGCAAGCTACCGAGAGTATCCCGCCCACATAGCAGAGCCTGGCAAGCTCCCCATGGGTGTATTTGATATGCCAAGAACAGTAACAACAAATCTCACGATGGAGACGTTATTGGTGCCTGCTTGAGCAAATCAATGAACAACGGGAGGACAGTGCTACAGGACAGTGCTACTATTATTGGCTAAGGGTGAGAGGGGTTTGGGCCACACCAGGAATAACCCATGAGCTAGTCTTCACTCTGCACTCAGAGATCACTCGAGCTGTGCTCAGGGGACCATATGAGGTGCCAGGGATCGAACCCAGGTTGGCTGCATGCAAGGCAGGTATCCCAGTACTCTCTCTGGCGAAGAGGGTGACACCTTCGGATCCCCTTCACATGCCTTGCTCCTTCCACCTGAGTTCCTGACCCCAGAGGAAAAGCACAGTGGCTCCCAAGACCTGCCTTGCAGTGACCTGGGCGCAAGATCAAATCCACAGGGTCACCAGATGCACCAGAGTTCAATTCTGGCAGCTTTGTTGTCTGTGATACCTGGGCCATCAGAGACTTCCGGCCACACCCTAGCCAGGTGTGTGTATCCACACCACAAGGGGGACCGACCCCTCAAAAGCACAACAAGGAGAAAGACATACGGGCCAGAGCGATAGTACAGTGAGTAGGGCTCCTGCCTTGCATGTTGTCGATCCCTGGCACCCATTAGAGTCCCCTGAGCCCCACCAGGAGTGATCCCTGAACGCAGCTGGGTGAGTCCCCCCTTCCAAAAGAGAGGAACCTGATTGGCAATAAAACCCCCAACGTTGGGAAGGATGCCCGCCAGCCCGGGCGAGAACAGCTTCGAAGAGAGGGCGCAGGTGGCTTGGTTTGATGCCCAGCGAAGATGGTGGTGACGTCACAGCATCGATGTCAAACACGCTACTACCTGCTGTTCTTTTGCTCGGCCCCTGACTTTCTCTTTTCATACCTTGACATTTGCATTAATCTTTTGCAGGTGGGGGAGGAGAGGGCTTGGTTCACACTAGGTGGTACTCAGGGCTTGCTCTGCACTCAGAGATCACTCCTGGTGGGCTCAGGAGACCCTACAAGGTGCCAGAGATCAAACCCAGGTCGGGCACATGGGAGGCAAGAGCCTTAGCCGTCTGTAGTATCTCTCTGGTCCCCATTTTCGTATTCTCAGTAAATGGACTGGAGCGATAGCACAGCAGTAGAGCATTTGCCTTGCATGCAGCCAGCCCGGGGGACCCGAGTTCAATTCCTCTGCCCCTCTCGGAGAGCCCGGCAAGCTACCAAGAGCATCTCACCCTGGCAAGCTACCTGTGAAGTATTTCATTTGCCAAACACAGTAACAACAAAGTCTCAAAATGGAGATGTTACTGGGCCCGTTTGAGCAAATCGACAGTGCTACAATGCTACAGTAAATGATGAAAGCAACGTTGAAACACTTAAAGAATGCGGCCGGCTTCCGGTGTACTTTCCTCTGTGACCAGAAGGGGTCACACTTCCCTCTTTGAGTTTAAGCCTTTCTGTGAGGGGAAAGGGAAGCTGTGAGGACTGTCTCCTACCCTGCAGGAGCCTGGATGGGAGTGGAGATTGAGCACTGTCCTCCCATCGATTTGCTTGAGCGGGCGCCAGTTACATCTCCATCATGAGACTTCTTGTTACTGTTTTTGGCATCTCGAATACGCCACGGGGAGCTTGCCAGGCTTTGCCCTGCGGGCGGGATACTTTTGGTAGCTTGCCGGGCTGTGGACGGAGGAATCGAACCCAGGTTGGCCGCGTGCAAGGCAAACGCCCTACTGGCTGTGCTATTGCTCCAGCTCCAAGATTTATTCAACACTGGGCCAGAGCGATAGTACAGCAGGCAGGACACTTGTCTCACACGCTACAGACCCAGGTTCGATCCCCCGTGCCCCATATGGTCCCCTGAGCCGAACGAGGAGTGATTCCTGAGTGCAGAGCCAGAAGTAAACCCCGAGCAATTCAGGTGTGCCCTAAAAACACCCCCTGCCCCCAATTCATTAAATTATTTTCTTTAGTTTTATGTTGATCTTATTTTTTTTGGTTTTTGGGGTCACACCCGATAATGCTCAGGGATGACTCCCCGCTTTGCCCTCAGGACTTACTTACTCCTGGTGTTGCCCGAGGGACCATATGGGATACTGTGGATTGAACCCGATCAGCCTCATGCAAGGTAAACACCCTCCCCACTAAGGTTTTATCACTCCGGCCTCTTTGTTGATTTTTGAGGCTACAACGGCAATGCTCAGGGGTTACTCCAGGCTCTGCTCTCAGGGATTACCCTTGGAGGGACTTGGGCACCATATGAGATGCTGGTGATCAAACCAGAGTTTCCAATGTACCAGGGAAGCTCCTTAACCCCTGTACTATCTCTCCATCCCCACAACGAAACAAACAAACACTGTCCTCCTGTTATTCATCGATTTGCTCGATCGGGCCCAGTAACATCTCCATTTTGAGACTTCTTGTTACTGTGTTTGGCATATTGAATACGTCACAGGTAGCTTGCCAGGCTTTGCCGTGCGGGCGAGATACTCTCGGTAGCTTGCCAGGCTCTCCAGGTAGAAGAATCGAACCCGGCTCGGCCGGGCTGACTGCGCGCAAGGCAAATGTCCTACCGCTGTGCTATCGCTCCAGCCCATCCCCACAACCACCATATTTTTTTTGCTTTTTTTTGGGGGGGAGGTCACACCCAGAGATGCACAGGGGTTACTCCTGGCTCATGCACTCAGGAATTACTCCTGGCGGTGCTCAGGGGACCATATGGGATGTTAGGAATCGAACCCGGGTCAGCCGCTTGCAAGGCAAATGCCCCACCTGCTGTGCTATGCTCCAGCCCCCCCAACCAGCATCTTTAAACAAAACCTTAGGCATCCACAGAAGCCACACAGACAGCCAAACGCGCCAGCCTTTCTTTTCAAGAAAAGGAATTTTATTTGTTTTCGTCTGTTCCCTAAGTCGTAAATTACATCTTCCCTGAGATTTCACCTCCCCCCCCCAAAAAAAAATATTCCCATCTTCATCCTGGAGTTTCTCTCCCTCCACCAGCTCCCTGGAAAGTGGCCAAAATGGTTTAAGGGTTGGCAAGGCTAACCCCCCACACCCCTGCCCCCTTCCCGGTGCCATGCAGTTCCCGCTATGTAATTCTTCCCAGCCACCTCCCTAGCTGCTTCATCCCGCGGTGCAGGTATTTGCGAAGCCTCCGAAAGAAGCAGATTTCTGGCCTCCTCATCTGTCAGCCACTTGGTAGTTCAGAGAAATCAAATGACTGAAGGCGTCAGGCTGTCCGAGGTGGCGGAAGAAGGCTCTCCAGGATCGCCACTGAGAGTTAGACTCGTGTCTTTGCAGCTTCTATCCTGGGGGGAAGAACAGAACTAGGAGAAAACGTCCAAGTGTACAGAGGAAGCTTTCACAGCGACAAAGTTCTTTCCTGCCTTTTTTCCCCCCTCTTTTCTCACACCCGGTGATGCACAGGGGTTACTCCTGGCCCTGCACTCAGGAATTACTCTTGGCGGTGCTTGGAGTACCATATGAGATGCTGGGAATCGAACCCAGGTCAGCCGCATGCAAGGCAAATGCCCTACCCGCTGTGCTATTACTCCAGCTCCCTCCTGCCTATTTAAAAACCATCACAGTCAAAGATGACATCTTGTTTTGTTTGGGATCCCCGGGAGTGCTCAGGGCTTACTCCGCTTACTCCTGGCTCTGTGCTCAGGGATCACTCCTGGTGGCTTGTGGAACCATACAGGGTGTCTGGGATGGAACCCGTTTGGCCATGTGCAAGGCAAATGCCCTCCCCACTGTATCATTGCTCCGGCGCTTGAGAATGAGATTTATTAATAATGTTATAATAGTAAGAATCAGGAACTCTTTATTTTTGCCTTACATATTTTTGGGGCGTGGGGTGGTCACACCTGGCAATGCTCAGGTCTTCCGCCTGATTCTGTGCTGAGGAATGACTTCTGATGGGCTCAAGGTGAGCATATGGGATATCAGGAATTGAACCCAGGTCAGTCTTGTGCAAGGCAAGCACCCTACCCGCTGTACTGTCACTCTGGCCTGTCTTTCACACTTTTTTTTTTTTTTTGCTTTGTGGGTCACACCTGGCAGTGCTCAGGGGGTTACTCCTGTCTCTGCTTTAAGGAATTATTCCTGGCAGTGCTCGGGGTACCATATGGGATGGTGGGGATTCAACCTGGGTTGGCCGTGTGCAAGGCAAACGCCCTCCCCGCTGTATGATAGCTCCAGTCCCCCCATACTTCTATATAACAAAGACGCGATACTGCAAAACATACTTAGGAAAATTCTCCAATTTTCGGTCTGACATTTAACAAAATATTGTAGGGGCTGAAGAAGCAATTTGATATGCCGAAGTATGAGATTTGCATACAGGGGGTTCAAGTTTGATCCTCGGCACCAGGTGGTGGCCCTGAGCATCACCACGTGTGACCCTCAAGCACTGAGCTGGAAAGAACCCCTGAGCTTCACTTGGGTGTGACCCCAAACCAAAACCAACCCCCCAAATATATATACATATGTTATATATAATTTTTTAAAATCACATAGAGGGTCAGAGAGATAGTCCAATGAACAGGAACACAGGCTTTGCATGTCGGAGACCCAGATTTGATTCTTGGCACCACCCTGGCCCCCTGAGCACAGCCAAGAGTACTCCGAGTCAAAGCATAAAGAGGATATGAAGAATGAACAGCACCAGGTGTGGTTCCAACCGTCATATCAAATCCCTTTGAGCAAGACCGCTAGTCTTCTTAAAAAGTTCAGGCCAGGCTGGCGGCCTGGCCTGGCCCATGTGTGGTCTGCAGGTGGGCTGGGTTTAACCCTCAGCAGGACCCGGTCCCCTGAGCATCCCTGGGTCCCATGAGCATCCCTGGGACCGACCCCAGAGCACCAAGCTGGGAGCAGGCCCTGAGAACCTCTGGTTGTGGTGTAAAGACCAGAGCAGGTAGCAGGTCATGGAGACATTTGCTTTTTTCTTTATTTTTATTTTGGAGGATTTTTAGGCCACAGCAGCAATGCACAGGGGTTACTCCTGGCTCTGCACTCAAAAATTACTGGTGGTGCTTGGGGGACTCTATGGGATGCCAGGGATTGAGACCTGGTCAGCCGTGTGCAAGGCAAACACCTTCCTTGCTGGACTATTGCTGCAGACCTAAAAGTTCAGGTTTTTTTTTTTTTTTTTGCTTTTGTTTTTGTTTTTGGGTCACACCTGGCAATGCTCAGGGATTACTTCTGGCTCTGCACTCAGGAATTACTCCTGGTGGTGCTCAGGGGACTATATGGAATGTTGGGGATCGAACCCAGGTCAGCCACGTGCAAGGAAGACGCCCTACCCACTGCGCTATTGCTTCAACTCCTAAAAGTTCAACTTTCTATCCAAAAACAAAAAAAAAAAAAGCAAAACAAAACAAAACAAAAATACCTTCCACAAGACAGTAGCAATAATAACTCAGCAGTAGTTCCCCTAAATACAACCACAACTGCTTCCTGCCCTCCCTCCAGAAAAATTAACCCCCCCCCCCCAACACCACCATTCAGTCTGGGCTTACTTTGCTCACAGGGGTCAGAGTACAGAACAGTTGCGTGTTCATCTGCGGAAGGAAACGACATATAGCGTTAGAGGGCAGGCTCTGCCTAGAGGGAGGGGACAGTCCTAAAGCCACAGCCACTCTGCCCCTTTCACACGCTGCCTGTAGGTCACCACCGCACAGTCAGAATTACAGGAAGAGGGGTCGGAGCCATAGCACAGCGGGGAGGGCGTTTGCCTTGCATGTGGCCAACTCGGGTTTAATCCCCCGCATCCCATAGGGTCCCCTGAGCACCGCCAGGGGTAATTCCTGAGTGCAGAACCAGGAGCAACCCCTGAGCATTGCCAGGTATGACCCAAAAAGAAAAAAAAAAGAATTAGAGGAAGGTGGTCGGGAGAGGGGTGTGGGGATTGCCTTGTGTCTGGCAGGTATGTCTCAAGCCCTCTGCACTGGCTCTCAGGACCGGCAGCAGATTTTATTTTATTTTTAACTTTTCTTTTTTATTATTGAATCACTGTGACCCTTACAAAGCTATTCCTGATTAGGTTTCAGACATACGGTGTTCCAACACCCATCCCTCCATCCCTCCACCAGTGTGCATTTCCCAGCAGCAGTGTCCCCAGGTTCCCTCCCATGACCCTCCTGTCTGTCCTCCTCCTCCTCCTCCTTCTCCTCCTCCTCCTTCCCCTTCCTCTTCCTCTTCCTCTTCCTCTTCTTCTCTTCTTTCTCTTCTTCTTCTTCTTCTTCTTCTTCTTCTCTTCTTCTTTCTCTTCTTCGTCTTCATTTTCTTCTTCCTCTTCCTCTTCTTCTTCTTCTCTTCTTCTCTTCTTCTTTCTCTTCTTCTTCTTCGTCCTCTTCTTCCTCTTCCTCTTCTTCTCTTCTTCTTTCTCTTCTTCTTCTTCTTCTTCTTCTTCTTCGTCTTCGTTTTCTTCTTCCTCTTCCTCTTCTTCTTCTCGTCTTCTTTTCTTCTTCTCTTCTTCGTCTTCGTCTTCATCTTCTTCTTCCTCTTCTCTTCTTCTTTTTCTTCTTCTTCTTCGTCTTCGTCTTCTTCTTCCTCTTCCTCTCCTTCGTCTTCTTCTTCCTCTTCCTCTCCTCCTTCTTCCTCTCCTCCTCCTCCTCCTCCTCCTCCTCTTCCTCCTCCTCCTCCTCCTCCTCCTCCTCCTCCTCCTCCTCCTCCTCCTCCTCCTTCTTCTTCTTCTTCTTCTTCTTCTTCTTCTTCTTCTTCTTCTTCTTCTTCTTCTTCTTCTTCTTCTTCTCCCTCCTCCTCCTCCTCCTCCTCCTCCTCCTCCTCCTCCTTCTTCTCTCCCCCTCCCTCCGTTTGGGCATTATGGTTCACAATATTGATACTGAAAGGTTATCAAGAATATCCCTTTACCTACTTTCAACCCTCAGATCTTGTCCAGCGTGATCATTCCCAGCTATTATTGCCATAGCGGTCTCTTCTCTATCTTACCGACCCACACACACTTGTGGTTAGTTCCAACCATTGACCAGCCTCCTAACCCCTGTTTTCCCTGGCCATGGGTATTATTATTCTACTATATACATTTTTATATACCTCAAATGGACGCAGTCATTCTATATCTGTCCCTCTTCTTCTGACTCACTTCACTCAGCAGGATACTCTCCATGTCCATCCATTTATAGGCAAATTTCATGACTTCTCACTTTTTCTGATAGCTGGCAGCAGATTTTATTTTGTTTTTGTTTTGTTTTGTTTTGCCTTTTGGGTCACACCCGGCAATGCTCCTGGCTCTGTACTCAGGAATTACTCCTGGCGGTTCTTGGGAGACCATATGGGATGCCGGGGATTGAACTAGGGTCAGCCGCATGCAAGGCAAACACCCTACCCACTGTGCTATCGCTCCGGCCTGGCAGCAGATCTTTTTAGAATAGTTTGGCCAATTTGCTCTTCCAGGCCCTGCTCTCCTCGACCACATGTCTCACTTACTCGTCTCTCTGTCTGTCTTTGCCTGCTTATTTCCACTCTGGACAAACCATGCTCTCTCTTGAACATATATTTCCCCTCTTTCTCCCCCCTCCCATCTTTTCAAGCAAGTTTTGTTCAATAAAATCTATCTTGCTTCACTTAAAAAAAATAGCGTGGTTGAGGGGGCCAAAGGGAGTCCAGGGGCTGACCTGGGTTTGATCCCTGACAACACACACAGTCCTTTGAGCACTGCCACCAGGAGTAATGTCTAAGCACAGAGTCAGGAGTAAGCCCTGAGTACCATGGAGTGTGGTCCTAATACCTACTCCCACCAAAGGTAAAAAAAGAAAAAAAAACAAAAAAAAAAATAACAGTTTGCAGAGGCTGGAGAGATAGCATAATGGGTAGGGTGAAGGTCAACCCGGGTTCAATCCTCAGCATCCCATAGGGTCCCCTGAGCACTGTCAGGAGTAATTCCTGAATGCAGAGCCAGGAGTAACTCCTGAGCATTGCTGGGTAGGACCCAATAAAAAAGAAAAGAAAAAAAAAGTGTAAAATATTTTCTTTCCTTTCCTTTTTGGGCTGAAGCGATAGCGAGAGCCCGGTAAGCTTCTGAGAGTATCTCGCCCGCACGGCAGAGCCTGGCAAGCTACCCGTGACGTATTCAATATGCCAAACACAGTAACAACAAGTCTCATGATGGAGACATTACTGGACCCGCTCGAGCAAATTGATGAACAACAGGAGGACTGTGACTTACTGTGACTTCCTTTCCTTTTTCACTTTCTTTGAGTGGGGGACACACCCAGTGATGCTCAGGGTCTATTTCTAATTCTGTGCTCAGGAGTCGATTCTGGTGCCACTCAGGGCTCTGGGCCTATGTATGTGGTGGCGGGGATTGAACCGGGTCTCCTGAATGCCAAGCCAGCACTTGGCTTCGTGAGCTCTCTCTCCAGTGCTCACGCAGAAGACTTTTCAGGCGGCCTGCAACTGGACCGAGTGCTCTCAATCACATAGTTCCACCATGTGCTCTTTGGTGTGGGAAGGGGCAACCTGAAGCCGGGGGAAGGCCGGGCCTGGCCAGGCGCGTTGGGGCAACGGCTCACCCGGGAGGTAGTAGTCGTAGACGCTGGCGGCTGCTGGTTTCAGGTGGGTGACCAACACGCTTTGGTGGACGGTGATTGAGTAGGTCTGCGGCTCCTGGCTGAGCTGTGGGGAAGACAGATTAAACATGATGGAAAGGGGCCAGAGCGATAGCCCATCGGGGAGGGCGTTTGCCTTGCACACAGCTGACCCGAGTTTGATCCCCGGCATCCCATAGGGTCCCCCAAGCACCGCCAGGAGTGATTCCTGAGCGCAGAGCCAGGAGGAACCCCTGTGCATCACCGGGTGCGACCCCAAAAATAAGAAAAAAAAGCAAACAAACAAAAGGGGCCTGAGTAATAGCACAACAGGGAGGGAAGTTGCCTTGCACACAGTCGGTCCATCGGTCGGTCAGTCGGTCGGAAGACTCAGGTTCAATCCCCAGCATCCCATAGGGTCGCCAGGAGTAATTCCTGAGTGCAGAGCCAGGAGGAATCCCTGAGCATTGCTGGTTGTGACCCCCCCCAAAAAGCAAAATAAATGAATAAAAAAAATACATGATGGAAGGACTAAAATGAAGCCACCCTCGAAGGGGCTGGGGTGACAGCACAGCGAGGACTCTGGCCCCAAAGAAAAAAGGAAATCATTTCAGCCTTGGGGAGTCAGAAGTCACTGCTTGGGGGCTGGGGAGATGATATTGCAGGCTGGGCACTTGCCTACACTTGGCCAGATTCAATCTCGGGCACCCCAGATGGCCCCTGAGCCCTGAAGGAGTGATTCCTGAGAGCAGAGTCAGGAATAACCACCTGAACCCCTGACCCTGGCCCTGTGTGGTCCAAAAAATTAACACTGAGTTTTTTTTTTTTTATCACACTTGACAATGCTCAGGGGTTACTTCTGGGTCTGCACTCAGGAATTCCTCCTGGCGGTGCTCAGGTGGCCATATGGGATGCTGGGAATGGAACCCAGGTCAGCCGTGTGCAAGGTCCTATCTGCTGTGCTATTGCTTCAGTCCCAACACTTTTTTGTTTGTTTGTTTGTTTTGTTTTGTTTTTTAGGAGGATAAAGGCCTCCCAAGAGGTAGTCAGGAGGCCTGGGGTACTCTTCCCTCCCAGAGACTTTTAGCCACCATGCTATAGGTTCAATGTAGGGCCTGGGGGGCTTGAGCACCCACCCGATGGTGTTCAGGGTTCTCCGGAGCTACTCAGGGGAACCAGGTGATGTCAATTACTTGCAAGGCAGAGAACAAACCCCTGTCTTTCCTCCCCCAACCTCCTAACTTTTTACTTATTTGTGGTTTGGGGGGCCACACCCACTATGCCCTGGGCTTACTCCTGGATCTGTGCTCAGGGATCACTCCTGGCAGGGTTCAAGGAGATCAAACCCAGGTTGGCTGCACGCAGGACAAGCACCTTAATCCCTGTATTGTCTGTCCAGCCCCAATCTCTTAACTATTTTTTTTAAAGTATTACTTATTTTTCTTAAATCAATTGATTTATTTTTTTACACTCTACCCACTGTACTATCTCCAAACTCTTTTTTTCTCTAATTAAAAAAAAAATTTGTTTTTGGCTCACACCCGGCAATGCTTACGGTTTAATCCTGGCGGTGCTCAGGGGACCCTATGGATTGAACCCAGGTCAGCCAACATGCAAGGCAAACACCCTCCCTACTGTGCTGTCACTCTAGCCCCTAAACCCTCAAAACTTTTTTTTTTTTGCTTTTCGGGTCCCACCTGGCGATGCTCAGGGGTTACTCCTGGCTTTGCTCTCAGGAATCACTCCTGGCAGTGCTCAGGAGACCATATGGGATGCTGGAAATTGAACCCGGGTTGGCCGTGTGCAAGGCAAATGCCCTACTCGCTGTGCTATCACTCCAGACCCTCAAAACTTTCTTAATGACAAGATGTAGAGTGCCAGTAGGGAGGGATCACTCAGTGCATGATTGGGGACTCGTCGCCTCCAGGGCCCCTCCTCATGGGACCTTAGTCATGGGCGTGAGAACTAGAAGTGACAGAAGTGCCCCAACACGCCCCGCCTCAGCTCCTGACCCTCACCTCCTCCAGGTAGATATGCAGCGTGTCGGGGCTGGACTCCACCTTCTTCACCAGGGGTTGCTGGAGCAGCTGAAGAAGAAACGGGGTTGGGGAGGGGAGGACACTGAGAGCCCAAGGCTTCCTGTCCCCTGGGGTCGTCTCTGCAATCTCTGATGGCCAAGGAGACGTCCAGGGAGAGGAAAGGAGAGAGACTCCCAGCTCTGTCCCTGGTGGATCCCTGACTGGGGTGCCCTTGGGGTACGGAAAGGAGAGAGGGGTGCACAGGCCCAGCCGCCCAGGTCACTGACCTCCGTGGCGCAGATCCAGTGAGAAAAAGAGAAGCCACTTACCAGCTGCTTGGCGCCCTCCGCAGGGCTGAAGCCCGAGAGCATCTTCACCTCCACGATGGCCATGTTGGAGGAGCCCCGGCTGCCCACATAACTGCGAGCACAGAGAAGCCAGTCTGAGTGAGCTCCCGACTCTCTGCATCCTTGGCAAACACGTGCACGCGTGCATACGCACAGATAGGCATACGTGTAACTGCAGATGCACACACATGCATAGATACACATGCAGATACGTACACATGCACTGCAGGCACACACATGCACACACGTACACGTGTGTACACAGATGTACATGCATGGACTGAGCACACACATGCATGTACATATATGTGCACTGAAAGCACACACATGCACATATACATGTATGTGTGCACATGCACAGGTAGGCATACATGTAACTGCAGGTGCACACACATGCAGATGGACACACGCACAGATAGGCACACATGCACTGCAGGCATGCAAATGCACACACGTACATTTGTGAACACACATATACATAAACGTGCACCGCGGGCACACACATGTACACATACATGTGTGCACACACACAGATACACATACGTGCATTGCAGGCACACACACATACATGCTACACTCTCAACAACCCACACATGCACTTGGATGCATAAACACATTCAGTGACACACACATGTACACATACATACATAGGGCATGTATATGTACACATTTAATTCGCTCCCGGACACAAGTACACACATGTGTACATATATACACACTCAAAGACACACACAGTCAGGAACACACTGACATAGATACACAAGTGCACACACAGATGTACACACATACAAGTACACATACACTCACATTCAGGACTGCAAAAGCACACACATGCACACACTCTAGGGCACACACAGGCAGACACACACACACAGATAGACAAGGACACAATGCACGCACACACATATACTCACATTCAGCACGCACAGGCACTTGTCCGTGAACACGCTCACATATGTACATGCCATTGGCAGAGCCCCTGTGCGACCCGGGAGCCCCCTCCCCGCCTCAATTGCCCTCACCTGACGTGGACATTGAGTGTCAAGGAGCGAGGGGAAGACATCGGCCCACACCTCGCGTCACCCATGTCCACACTCAGGCGGAAGGTCTCCTCATTTTTGGGAGGAAAAATGTTGTATCTCAGCACCGTCTAGTTGGAAGAAACGGATCTCGTCAGACACAGGAAAAGCATTCCAGGCTGGACCATCCGAGCCCCTTTCCCTGCAGATGGAGAGGAGTAGCCTGGCGGCCTCGCCCCGCCCCCGCCCACCTGCACGTAGGCGCAGCCCCGGCCCGTGGCCTCCAGTGTGTAGACTCCGGGGACCGTGGGCAGGGCCTCCTGCTGGGAGACCAGCCGGTTGACCGCTTGGATGCTGAAAGTCCGCTGGAAGCTCCCGGTGGACTTCACGGTCACGCTGATCTCCTCCGAGGGCTCGTAGGCAGTGGTGGCGTATTTGGCAAGAGCCTGGAGGGCCACCACCGTGTCCTGGGGAGAAGCGGCCATGGGTGAGTCAAGGCATTTGACCCCAAATGGCCACAGAACCCGCACCTCTCCCGGAGGTCAGGCAGCCTGGGGAGGCCTCTTCTCACTCAGATCCAGCCCATGGATGGCACGGTGAGGAGGTCGTCTCCCTTGCAGGCTGTTGACCCGGGCTCCATCCCAGGCAGCCCAGAGGATCCCCTGAGCCCTACCAGGAGTTACTGCTGAGTTCAGAGAGGAGTAAGCCCTGAGCACTCCCGGTGTGGCCCCCAAACAAACCAAAAATCCCTAACAACTAAATATGTCAGATCCTTCTTGCCCGTACTGAAGAAGGGATTCTAAGGCCTGATTTGTCTGGACAACAGCCATTAAGTCTTTTTTTTTGGAGGGGGGGTCACACCCAGCAGTGCTCAGGGGTTACTCCTGGCTTTGCATTCAGGAATTACTCCTGGTGGTGCTTGGGGGACCATATGGGATGCCAGGGATCGAACCTGGGTTGGTCGCGTGCAAGGCAAACGCCCTACCCGCTTTGCTATCGCTCTGGTCCCCAATCACCATTAAGTCTTTCTGGAACATTCTGTGAGTCACTAAATTAACATCACAGATTAGAGTATAAAAAACTATCATACAAGTGGATAAGTGAATTATATTATGAATATATAATGTGCCTATATATTATAGGTATTGTCTATATGATATGTACCGTATATTACTATGTGTACATAACTAGATTATTTCATATACATGGAATAGTGGACTGGAGCCATAGCACAGCGGATAGGGCATTTACCTTGCAAACCGACCTGGCCGACCCGAGTTTGATTCCTCCACCCCTCTCAAAGAGCCCGGCAAGCTACCGAGAGTACCTCACCAGCACGGCAAAGCCTGGCAAGCTACCTGTGTCGTATTTGATATGCCAAATACAAACACAGTAACAACAATTCTCACAATGGAGATGTTACTGGGCCTGCTTGAGCAAATCGATGAACAACAGGAGGACAGTGACAGTGACAATGACATTCTTTGGATTCCTTGGAACGGTGGTTCTTTGAATTTTTTTTTCCTCCAAAGTGCTCAGGGGCTACTCCTGGTCCTGTGCTCAGAGGTTGCTCTCTCTCTCTCTCTCTCTCTCTCTCTCTCTCTCTCTCTCTCTCTCTCTCTCTCTCTCTCTCTCTCTCCCCCTCTCTCTCTCTCTCTCTCTCTCTCTCTCTTAATTTTTTGTCACACCCAGCAATGCTCAGGGGATACTCCTGGCTCTGCACTCAGGAATTTCACCTTGCAGTGCTTGGGGGACCATATGGGATGCTGGGAATAGAACCCGGGTTAGCCACACGCAAAGCAAATGCCCTCCCCACTGTACTATTGCTCTGGCCCAGAGGTTGCTCCTTGAGTTGTTCAAGGGATCAACTCGATGGTGCCAGGGTTCTGACATGTGAAGTCCTTTCCTTGTGTTCTCTCCTGGGGCCTGTGGTTTCATTATTGAAGAAGAGAACAGTAGAAGCCTCGCAGGTCTGGGTCAGAGAGATAATACAGCAAATAAGACACTTGCCTTACATGCACCCAGCCTGGATTCCATCTCTGGCACCCTACTTAGTCCCCTGAGCCTCACCAGGAGTGATCCCCGAGTGCAGAGCCAGGAGTAAGCCCTGAGCAACATTGGGTGTGGCCCCAAACCCACCCCCTCAAAACAACAACAAATAGCCTTTGCAGGTCAAATTGGCTGTCTGCTCTCTGAACACCAGAGCCAAGGAAGTCTTTTTTTTTTTTTTCTTCTGGGTTCACATCCAGAAATGTACAGGGGTTATTCCTGGCTCTGCACTCAAATTGGCTGTCTGCTCTCTGAACACCAGAGCCAAGGAAGTCTTTTCTTTTTCTTCTGGGGTCACATCCAGAAATGTACAGGGGTTATTCCTGGCTCTGCACTCAGGAATTACCCCTGGTGGTGCTCAGGGGACCCTATGGGATGCTGGGGATCGAACCCGGGTCGGCCGCATGCAAGGCAAATGCCCTTCCCACTGTGCTATCGCTCCAGCCTCCCGAGGAAGTCTTTATTTCGTGAACATGTGGAAACAATCCAAGGCACGGCCCCTCCCTCCCTTGCAGTGGACAAACCCGTGACAAGACCTAGAGCTTCCTGTAATTGCCCAGGATTTCGCTAGTGTATAACTCTGGAGAGTATCTGTCACCAGGAACTCCGTGTCCGCTCATTTCCTCTGCCCTTTCTTAAATGCCCTTTCTTGGAATGATGGAGCTGAACCGGGAGAGAATCTTCCCTGGTCTTTGCCAAAAATCTTCCTGAATGAAGAAAGCAGAATACCAGAATCTTTTTTTTTTTTTCTTCGCTTTTTGGGTCATACCCGGCGATGCACAGGGCTCTGCACTCAGCAATTACTCCTGGCGGTACTTGGGGACCCTATGGGATCCTGGGAATCGAACCCAGGTGGGATGCGTGCAAAGCAAACGCCCTACACACTGTGCTATCGATCCAGCCCCCGAATCATATTTTTTTTTGAAAATTCTAATTAAGTCATGACCACCTTTATTATTTTTTGAATTTTAATTATTTTATTTTATCCTTGTCATTTTATTAATTATAACTTACTAACAGTTAGCAATAATTATAACTTACTAAAAGTTAATTATAACTTACTAAAGAGGGCTAGAGCAATAGCACAGCAGGCAGGACGTTTGCCTTGGACGCAGCCAACCCAGTTCGATTCCTCCATCCCTCTAAGAGAGCCCGGCAAGCTAACGAGAGTATCCCGCCCATATGGCAGAGCCTGGCAAGTTACCTATGGCATAATTGATATGCCTAAAATAGTAACAACAAGTCTCACCATGGTGACGTTACTGGTGCACGCTTGAGCAAATCGATGAACAACGGGAAGACAGTGCTACAGTGCTTTGTCATTTTGGGTAAAACTCGGTAATACTCAAGGGTTACTCCCTTAATTCTTAATTTCTGCACTCAAAAATCACACTTGGTGGTGCTCGGGGGACCAGATGGGATGCCAGGGATCAAACCTGGGTTGGCTACATGTAAGGCAAACTCCCGACCCGCTGTGCTATGGCTTCACTCCAGGTTCTTCTTTCTTTTATACTGAAGCCCATGTGAAAAGGGGCAGCTAGGAGAGTGGTCACTTACCTGCGTGGACGCGAAGCCACCATAGGCGTTGCGCTGCTTGGCCAGCCAGGCTACAATGCCAGTGGCCCTGGCGATGTCCTTGGGAGTCAGTCTGGGTTTGCTCAGCCAGGCCAGCAGTACGTACGCGGTAAGTTCCACATCCACGGCCTCTGGCTGGGACCACGGACTGGCGTCTGAGGCCCGAGTGGGTGTCTGGCTCCAGTGAATGGACTCTCCTATGGGAAGGGACATGCAAGGACGGTCTTGGGAAGAAATGACTTCCATGGCTGCATGGTAAGTGCTGCATCTTACAGCTGAGCAAATATCACCCAACACCCATCATAAGATAGAAAAACGTATTTCTCAGGGCAGGAGCAATAGCAGAACGGGGAGGGCGTTTGCCTTGCACACAGCCAACCAACCTGGGTTCAATTCCCAGCATCCCATATGGTCCCCTGCGCACCGCCAGGGGTAATTCCTGAGCGCAGAGCCAGGAGTAGCCCCTGTGCATCGCCGGGTGTGACCCAAAAAGCAAAAATAAAAACAAAACAAAAAATCGTATTTCTCGGGGCTGGAGTGACAGCATAGAGGGTAGGGCGTTTGCCTTGCATGTGGCCGACCGGGGTGCAATTCCCAGCATCCCATAGGGACCCCCAAGGACCTCCAGGAGTAATTCCTGAGTGCAGAGCCAGGAGTAACCACTGTGCATCGCTGGGTGTGACCCAAAAAGCAAAAATAAAATAAAATAAAAATGTATTTCTCAGTTATCTTCAGGCCTACTAACTACCAAGATTGAGGATATGTGTCTGTGGGTGCATGTGTTTATACACCCCACAGATAATTCCCCAAAGTCATGTTAGGAGCATTGCTACATGTCTCTAGTAATTATGTGATAACCACCTGTGTTCATGTATGGATTCTAAACAGGATGGAGGGGCTGGAGCAATAGGACAGCGGGTAGGGCGTTTGCCTTGCATTCAGCTGACCTGGATTCAATCCCCAGCATCCCATATGGTCCCCCAAGCATCGCCAGGAGTAATTTCTGAGTGTAGAGCCAGGAGTAACCCCTGTGCATAGCAGGGTGTGACCCAAAAACCCAAATATAATATTAATGATGACGATGACGATGACGATGATGATGATGACGATGATGATGATGATAATAATAATAATAATAATAATAAAAGTGGATGAGATAAGTAGAATCTTCCTCATGTGTTTGGGGGCATGACTTTTTTCCTCGTGGCTTACTGAATTCTAGCAATTTTCAGCATTGACGTTTTCATAATCAATGGCTTAATTTTTTTTTAATAAATTTTCTTTATAACAATGTTTGGCATATCGAATATCGAATACACAGCGGATAGCTTGCCAGGCTCTTCCGTGCGGGCGGAATACTCTCGGTAGCTTGCCAGTCTTTCCGAGAGGTATAGAGGCTTTTGGGGTGACCTCTAATCACCCTTGTAGGTGTTACCATATTTGAACCCTATCAAATATGGTACGACAATTCCAGAAGACGGGTATTTAGTGTCTTATGATGTGTCGCGCGGCCGCTTGCGGCCGCGCGGGTCCGGAAAGCGTCCTGGAGTGTGGCGACGGCTGGGTAGTGGAAGTAGTGTCGAGAGTGGAAGTCTGCCAGTGGGGTATTTATCTGGGTAGGGTGGGTCTCCTGTGCACAATTCGATCCCTGGCAAGCTATCCGCTGTGTATTCGATATGCCAAAACCAGTAACTACAACTGGTCTCATTCACCTGACCCTGAAGGCTTCACCGACATGGCAGCACTGAGAAGGATGAGAAAGGAGAGGCCGACAAAATCTCAAGGCCGACCTAGGCTGCCACAACGAAGGAAGACAAAAATGATCGTCTGTACTTTCAATGCACGTACGCTAGCATCAGATGCATCCATCGAGGACCTGATGGTACAAGCGCGAATGATCAAGTACGACATCATTGGTCTGACCGAGACAAGAAGGCACGAATCTCACCATGCCGTTTTCGACACTGGAGAAGAATTGTTCCTCGGAACATGCGATAAAAGAGGTGTTGGAGGCGTCGGTGTCCTTATCAACACAAACTTGGCCAAGAGCATTGATTCATTCGAATGCCTAACAACCCGAATCGGACGTTTACATTTGAATAGATGTGGCTCACTGCCTGCAGTTTCTATCTTCGTTGTCTACGCACCAACATCTCATTATGATGAAAGAGAAATCGAGAAGTTCTACATGGAGCTAGAGAAATTCTATAAAGAAGACCACACCTTCTACAAGATCATTGTGGGTGATTTTAATGCCAAGATAGGACCGAGAAGATCAGCTGAAGAACTTCACATCGGAACCCATGGCCTAGAATGGAACGAACAGGGTGAGAGACTGTCTGAGTTCATCATGTCGACCAAGACCATTCATGGTAACTCACAGTTCCAGAAGGCAGAATCTAAACGATGGACATGGGAGTCTCCCGGTGGACGATTCCACAACGAAATAGACCACATCATATTCAATCGACGGTTTTGCCTGACTGATGTCGCTGTTGTCCCAAAATTTCGAACGGGATCGGACCACCGTCTCCTTCGTGCAAAATTCTACTTCACAGAGCGGGGAGAAAGGGCTGCAAAGTTCAAAAAGAGAACTCCCAGAACGACCACCAACTGGGAACTCTTTGCTACTATTGCGGCAACATGGGAAGATGCCATTGTTGACAACATTGACGAGGAATACGATCGACTGGTTCAGCACCTCCATGAATGTGCAAGGAACGCCAAGAGAGAGATAGCCACAAAAAGTCGCCTATCTTCGAAAACTCTTGAGCTAATTCGCCAGCGTGGTTTGGCGCATGCCTCAGGCAACCGCAAGCTAACGTCCGAGCTTGCAAAGCAGTGCAGAGATGCGATCAAGGAAGACCTCAAAGAGAGAAGAGCAGAAGTACTAGTAGATGCGGCAGAAGCTGGGAAAAGTATTCGTAACGCCCGCCTGTCCTTCGCCAACTATAAGACCAAGATGACTGCCCTCCGACGTCCTGATGGATCCATCACATCCTCCAGAACGGCAATGGAGAAGATTATCCATGACTTCTACTCAAATCTCTTCGATAGCCATGTCCACTTGCCGACATACCAAATTCCACAGGATGGGTATGTCGTTCCCAACGTTCTCCCTTCCGAAATCCGACACGCCATTTCGTCAGTAAAGAAGCAAACAGCACCCGGCCCAGACAAAGTCAGACCTGAACACCTGAAGAACCTGCCGTCAGTACTCATCAATACACTGGCTCGGCTCTTCACTCGCTACCTGTCTGAATGCAAGGTTCCATCTCAATGGAAAACCAGCAGGACCGTACTACTGTTCAAGAAGGGAGACATCCATGACATTGGCAACTATCGCCCGATCTGCCTATTGTCTGTCATCTACAAGTTGTTCACTCGAGTCATCCTGAATAGGATTGGCAGAACACTAGATGAAGGACAACCATGTGAGCAAGCAGGGTTCCGCAAAGGATTCAGCACCATCGACCATATCCACACGATAACCAAACTCATTGAGGTTTCTCGGGAGTTCAAGATGCCGCTCTGCTTAACGTTCATTGATTTAAAGAAGGCCTTTGATTCTGTTGAGACGGAAGCGGTCATTGAAGCCCTAGCCAATCAGGGCATTCAAGCCCAATACATCAGGATCCTCCGTGAGCTGTATTGCGGATTCACTACCAGGATCTCACCATTCTACAAAGAAGTGATCGTTGATGTCAAGAGAGGGGTGCGGCAGGGTGATACCATTTCACCAAAACTCTTCAGTGCCACCCTCGAGAACATCATGCGACGACTGGAATGGGAAGGAATGGGAGTGAAGATAGATGGTCGGCAACTACACCACCTCCGCTTTGCTGATGACATTGTTTTAATAACACCAAACATCAGCCAAGCGGCACAAATGCTGGCCGACTTTGACCGTGAGTGTGGAAAGGTAGGACTACAGCTGAATCTTACGAAGACAATGTTTATGAGAAACAGCCTTGTTCCTGACGCCCCATTCGCTCTCAATGGAACGACCATCTCCGAATGCAACAGCTATGTGTACCTAGGTCGAGAGGTCAACATGACAAATGACCTGGCACCCGAGCTGCGCAGGAGGAAGAGAGCGGCTTGGAACACCTTCAAGAACGTCGAAGAAATAGCTAAGAGGACGAAGAACCTCCGGCTCCGGGCACATCTCTTTGATTCCACTGTTCTTCCTGCATTAACATATGCCTCAGAGACCTGGGCCCTACGCAAACAAGATGAGAACGCCATTCAGGTCTCCCAAAGAAGAATAGAAAGAGCTATTCTTGGAATATCACGTTTCACTCAAATGAGAGAACGAATCCGGAGTTCTGACATCCGTCGACGATCAAGGATCAGGGACGCTGTCTCATTTGCCAAGGTGTCGAAAATCAGATGGGCTGGTCACGTAATGAGATTTAAAGACGACCGTTGGACTAGAGCTGTTACTGATTGGATTCCACGGGATGTCAAGAGACCGCGTGGCCGCCCACCTACCAGATGGTCAGACTTCTTTGTCAAGGTCATGAACGATCGGTTTGAGGCCCTCCATGTTCCCGGAGGGAAGAGATGCCATTGGGCTACACTAGCACGCGACAGGGACAAATGGAGACGTTACTGGCGCCCGCTCGAGCAAATCGACGACTAACGGGAAGTTAAGTGATTAAGTTAAGTGATAACAATGTTTCACTTTATTTTTTTTTTCGCTTTTTGGGTCACACCCAGCGATGCTCAGGGGTTACTCCTGACTCATGCACTCAGGAATTACTCCTGGCGGTGCTCGGGGGACCATATGGGATGCTGGGAATCGAACCTGGGTTGGCCATGTTGGCTGCGTGCAAGGCAAATGCCCTACCTGCTGTGCTATCGCTCCAGCCCCATGGCTTAATATTTTGAGAAGGAAAAAAATGAGGGCCAGAGACATAGTACTGGGGATAGGGCACTTGCCTTGCGTGCAGTTGCCTGGGGTTGGATCCCCGGCAACCCACATGGTTTTGCCGAGCACTGCCAGGAGTGAGCCCTGAGAACAGAGCCAGGAGTGAGCCCTGAGCGGAGCCGTGTAAGCCACCCCTCTCCCACAGTGGCAGGCGTATAAAAAAAATATGAGACATCCAAGGAGAAATGCAGGTGAAGATGAACAAGATGAACACAGAGATTAGGAAACCCATTAACACTGCAGGACACAGGCCAGAGATCCCACTGGAGGTCAGGCACTTGCCTTGCACACGGCTGACCCCAGTTGGATCCCCTCATAGAGCCCTGAGTACTGCCAGGGGTCATTTCGGAGCTCAGAGCCAGGAGCAGTCCCTGTGCACCTCTGTGTGGTCCCAAGCACTACCCCCCACACAGAAAGACCAAAACCACACAAAACCACAGGACTCTAGGACAGCCGACTTCAACTCCCGGGCTGTAGGCAGTCCCCGGGTGTGGATAGGCTGACAGCCCTGGGCTGGTGCCTTGGTGCTGACCGCGTGGACCCGTGTGCAGGACAGGTGCCATCCACAGGTGTGACAGGTGTAAGAACGCTGCTCTGAGACAGCTTGTTGTGGTCATTTGAGGGCATGCCTGGTGGTGCTCAGGGCTCACTCTTCGCTCTGTGCTCAGGGATCACTCCTAGTGGTTCTTGGGGGACCATATGCAGTGCTGGGGATCGAACCCAGGCTGGAAACACAGAAGGCAAGCACCTTGTTCCCTGTGTGTGTGTGTGTATGTGTACATGTGTGCGTATGTATACTTTATCGCCTGTACTATCTCTATAGCTGCAGGTGTGCATGTGTGTGTATGTGTGTACCTTATCCCCTATACTATCTCCACAGCTGCAAGTGTGTGTGTATGTGTATATGTGTGTATGTGTATGTGTGTATACCTTATCCTCTGTACTATCTCTGCAACTGTGTGTACATGTGTGTGCATATGTATGTCCATGTGTGTGTATACCTTATTCCCTGTACTATCTCTGCAGCTGCAGAAGTTTTTGTATATGTGTGTGTGTGTGTGTGTATGCCTTATCCCCTGTACTATCTCTGCAGCTGCAGGGTGTGTGTGTGTGTGTGTGTGTGTGTGTGCATGTATGTGTTTACCTTGTCCCCTGTATTATCTCTGCAGCTGCAGGTGTATGTGTGTATATATGTGTGTGTATGTATGTGCGTGTGTGTGTGTATATACCTTATTCCCTGTACTATCTCTGTAGCTGCAGTGTGTGTGTGTATGTATGTATGTATGTATGTATGTATGTGTGTGTGTATACTTTATTCCCTGTACTATCTCTGCAGCTGCAGGATGTGTGTGTGTGTATATGTGTGTGTGTATGTGTGTGTGTATATGTATGTGCGTGCGTGTGTATATATACCTTATTCCCTGTGCTATCTCTGCAGCTGCAGAAGTGTTTGTGTATGTGTGTGTGTGTGTGTGTGTATGCCTTATCCCCTGTACTATATATATCTGCAGCTGCAGGGTGTGTGTGTGTGTGTGTGTGTGTGTGTGTGTGTATGTGTGTGTGTGCTGGGGATGGCACCCAGGCCCTCTCCCAGGCAAGGCTGGCATTCCACCCTGAGCTGAAAGCCCCGGCCTGCTCGGCTCTATACCACTATCCAAAGCCTTAGAAGACTCATCGGGGCTTTGGCACAAAAGTCAGTGATTTTCGGGCAAGTCCTCTGATGGAGCCAAAGGCTGGCCGTGGAGGCATGAGGGACCAAACCTGGGGCCCACGTACCTGACACGATGGCCTGCTGGTCTAACTTTTCCAGACACGCGCTTCTGAGCTCCATGTCCCCCGCCAGAGAGAACGTGTATGCCAGGAGGGCCTGCGTGTACTGGGAGCTGGCCGAGGCCGCGGAGTTTCGGAGGCACTTCAAGCCCTGAGCCACCATCGGATCCTGAAACGGGAAGGGAGGGGCTGGACTCCCTGTGCCAGAGCAGGTCATTCGGGGCGTTCTTGAGGGTCAAAGGCAGAAGCGGGCCAGGGAGCAGGGGCTCAGAGAACCGAGGGCAGACGTGGCGTGCAGGAGACCGGAGTTTAGTCCCTGGTCCCGCATGATCCCTGAGCAACCCCAGGAGAAACCCCCCCGCCCCCCAAGATGGCTGGGTGTGACCCAATCCCTCACGCTCTCCCACGTAAATAAAAATACACACGGGAATAGGCGGAGCGATAGCACAGCGGGTAGGGCGTTTGCCTTGCACGTGGCTGACCCCGGTTCGATTCCTCCACCCCTCTCGGAGAGCCCGGCAAGCTACCGAGAGTATCTCGCCCGCACGACAAAGCCTGGCAAGCACCCCATGGCATATTCGATACGCCAAAAACAATAACAACAAGTCTCACAAGGGAGATGTTACTGGTGCCCGCCCGAGCAAATCGATGAACAACAGGAGGACAGTGCTACAGTGCTACATACGGGAACAGCAGAACAGGGGCCCGGGTGGCAGTGTAAAGGGCTTGAGGGCAGACTTTGCAGGCAGGAGGCCTGACTATCCCGGGCACTGAATAGTCCTCCAGCAGTGTCAGGAGCAACCCACAAGCACTGCTAGAGGTCAGGAGTAACCCCCAATGGGGGACCGGAGCGAGAGCACAGTGGGTAGGGCGTTTGCCTTGCATGTGGCCTACCCAGGTTCGATCCCCGGCATCCCATATGGTTCCTCGAGTACCGTCAGGAGTGATTCCTGAGTGCAGAGCTTGGATGTCCTTCCTAAACATCCCCGGATGTGACCCAAAGACCTCCCCGCCCCGCAAAAGTGATAAAAGGCAGACAAAGGGGCCCACACGGTTCCAGGAAGAGCCACGAGAGAGGAGGAGAATGATGGGAACTCACCCGGGGACTCCTGCCCATCTCCAGCAAAGCCGCCGTGATGTAGGCCGTCAAGGAGACCTCATCGTCCACGCCGCCCTAAGGGACAGAGAGCGGGGACATGCAGACCAGGCAGCCTCGGCCACGCCACACACAGTGGCTCTGTGTGAGGGCCACAGAACAGCCGGAGGTGCTGGAGTGGGTTCTTGGCAGGCGCCAGGCCCCGGGTTGGGTCCCAGCACTGCAGAGCCACTCAGTACCACCAGCACTGGACACACAGGTCCACCGATGCTCCCTCAACCCCACCCGTTCCCCAGAGCATTTCTCAGGAACTCTCCCCTACCGAATCCAAACAGTCAGCCCCACAAACGCACAAATGGCTTTGTTTTTCTTTGAAGAGCAGGTTTGGGGACTGGACTGACAGTACAGTGGGTAGGGTGTTAGCTTTGCATGCGGCCGAGCCGGGTTCAATTCCCAGCATCCCGTAGGGTCCCCCAAGCACCGCCAGGAGTAACTCCTGAGTGCAGAGCCAGGAGTAACCCCTGTGCATTGCTGGGTGTGACCCAAAAAGTAAAAAAAAAAAAAAGCAGGTTTGTGGGGGTTCTGTTGGAATTTGCAATCCCAATCAGTTCTTCGGGGGAGACTGAGGCTGCTGAGCTGGGAAGCCACGTGCAGAACAAAGTTCTAGATCAGATGCTGGTTTAGCAGACACTGTGGGAGCTGGGGGCTGAGGTAGACTTAGCATCACGCCTGGGCTATGCAGAAACAGGGCTGAGGGGCCGGAGCAACGGGACAGTGGGTAGGACGTTTGTCTTGCACACGTGGCTGACCTGGATTTGGTCCCCAGCACCCACCCCCGTAAGATCCCCCTAGCACTGCCAGGAGCCACCCCTGAGCACAGAACCAGGAGTAAGCCCTGAGCACCACTGGGTGTAGCACAAAGATTTTTTTTTTTAAGGATAACTCTTTTTTTTTTAAGGGGCTGCAGTGATAGTACAGTGGAGAGGGCGGTTGCCTGGCATGTGGCTGACCCAGGTTCAATTTCCAGCATCCCATAGGGTCCCCTGAGCACTGCCAGGAGCAATTCCTGAGTGCAGAGCCAGGAGGAGCCCCTGAGCATCGCCAGGTGTGACCCAAAAAGCAAAAAAAAATAATAATAATAATAATTTTTTTAGAGAGGAGAACTGTGGGGCCAGAGTGATAGCACAGCGGGCAGGGCACTTGCCTTGAACATGCCTGACCTGATCCCCAGCATCCCATATAGTTCCCTGAGCACCACCAGGAGTGATCCCTGAGCACTGCCGGGTGTGACCCAAAATCAATAAAGAAAAGCAGGGCTGAGCCTTGCGGCTAGCCGATATCCAGTGTCCCGCTGACCCGCCGAGCACAAGGACCTGGGCTGGCCCAACGCAGCCGCACCTTCATCGCTGTGTGAAGCAGCTTCCCCACGTTGGTGAAACAACCACTGGGGAGCTGGTTGCCCGCCATCCACTTGAGAGCCTCCTGGATGTTCTTGTCATCGATGAAGATGAATTTCTGAGCTTGGCCGAAGCACTTGGTGACGAAGGCGGTGAGCCTACGGGAACATAGAGCAGAATGAGTTTGGTTATTTTTTTTTGCTTTTTGAGTCACACCCAGCAATGCACAGGGGTTAGTTCCAGCTCATGCACTCAGGAATGACTCCTGATGGTGCTCGGGGGACCATGTGGGATGCTGGGAATCGAACCCGGGTCAACCGCGTGCAAGGCAAACGCCCTACCCGCTGTGCTATCACTCCAGCCCCCAGAGCGGAATGAGTTTATTCAGGTGACTGGTTCCCGGGAGAGGAGGCACATGGGGACAAGGATCAGGGAGGCTCGAAGGCAGGGAGAAGGGCGCAGAGATGGCATGAAGGAGGCAGGGGACGAGGTACAATAAAGAAACGGGGCGCCACAGTGAGAAGTCAAAGTGCTGAGTAGACACTTCACATGCGAGGGGCCCGGATGGAATCCCTGGGACCGCATGGTCTCCTGAGCACTCCCGGGAGCAACCTCCAAGCACACACAGAGCCAGGAGTAGCCCCTAGTACGGCCAGTATGGCCCAACCTGCCCCTTCCCCCTGATAACAGGAATGGGGGCAGGAGAGTGGGGTGGGAGAGGACCCGGAAATGAACAGGGGTGGAGGGATGGGGCGGGGGCGGGGAACATGATAGGCAGGAAACTATCCAGAAGAACAATCCCAGGGTGCTCAATGCAATTAAGCAATCTAAAATCAAAAAATATATCAAAGTGGGGGCTGGAGCAACAGCACAGTGGGTAGGGCGTTTGCCTTGCACTCGGTCAACCTGGGTTCGATTCCCAGCATCCCATAGGGTCCCCTGAGCACCGCCAGGGGTAATTCCTGAGTGCAGAGCCAGGAGGAACCCCTATGCATTGCCAGGTGTGACCTAAAAATAAATAAATATATATATATATATATATATATATATATATCTCAAAGAGAAACACACAAAAGAATCTCTGAACCTAGCAGCTCACTCACTGCAGAGATGCCTCTGGACTTTAAGCCAGGCCGACTTCACTGGGGGCCTCAGACGGGGGCAGGCGTCATCCCTCCACCTGCCCCTGAAGAACCCTAGCAGCTGCCAACTTTCAGAACCCAGTGAGGAGAGCAGGTACATGGGTTCAGTGACGGCAAAGTCCAGGCCTCAAGGGATAGGGGATGGGCCAATCCTTCTCATCCCCTCATCTCCATGGGACCCTGGAGGTCCCGCCTACAGACTGCCTGCAACTGCTACTTAAGTTTCTTAATAGCCATGAGCCAGACACACAAAGGCATCTCAGAACCAAGCAGCTCTCTGCAGAGATTTCTCCGGACCCTAATTATCTAAAATTTTAGAATTCCAGACTGCACTACGTCCTATGCTACTCATAACAAGCAATACAAAAGAGAGTATGGGGGAGATTGTCTGCCATAGAGGCGGGAGAAAGGGGGAATGGGGGAATAATATTGGGTACCTTGGTGGTGGAAGGGGTGCACTGGTGGAGGGATGGGTGAGTGATCATTGTATGACTGAAACTCAAACATGAAAGCTTTGTAACTGTATCTCACAGTGATTCAACTAAATATATATATATATATATATATATATATATATATATATATGGAGAGGGCTGGAGCGATAGCACAGCGGTAGGGCGTTTGCCTTGCATGCAGCCAACATGGCTGACCCGAGTTCGATTCCTCCGCCCCTCTCGGAGAGCCCAGCAAGCTGCCGAGAGTATCTCGCCCACAGGGCAAAGCCTGGCAAGCTCCCCGTGATGTATTTGATATGCCAAACACACAAAAGTCTCACACTGGAGACGTTACTGGCCTGCTCGAGAAAATCGATGAACAACGGGACGGCAGTGACAGGACAGTGACAGTGACATATAAAAGGAGGAGTGGAGGAGGGGAGTGGGGGCAGGTCCCTGGAGCTTGGGGTGCAGTGCTCCCGGGCCCACAGTACCAGGTGTTTCCGTCTCCATCCTGCTCCCCGAAAGCGCTGTAAGAGCCGTTGCTGTGTTTGTAGAGAAGTTCCTGCTGGTACCCTGTGACACAGGAAGTGATTTTAGCTTTTAGATCCGGGTGAGTTTCCAAACATACCCTGAGGCTTTCCCAGATATGGACCCATCAGGAGCTCTCACCCTTTTCTTTTGGGGGGCGGGGCAGGAATAGGTCCTGCTGGGGGGATGGAGCCCAGGACCCCCTGCCTGCACTCCATTCCTGTGAGCTGCCTCCCCACCCCCCTGTATCCTAACACACTGCCACAGGCCCTCGGAAGGCTGCAGGTAACCGGAGGGTCACGAGAGCATGAGGAGGAAGGCGGAACGGGCAGATCCCAAGAAGCCCATATCCAGAAAACCCACACCGATGTGGACTGGGACCGCTCTCCTCTGCTCTTCCCCAGAAGATAAGCCCATTATAAAGATGTTTGTCTTGATAGACTGAGGCCACAGGATATGTACAAACTTAGCCAGGATAGATTAAGACAGGAAACTGACGAAAGGTTCTTCTAATGATTCCTGGTTCTAAGCAATAAATATTGACTGTAGGATGTTGGGGCTCTTAGTTCAAGAGGTTGTGAGCCCTCGGATCCCACACTTTCTGCCTCATTTTCTTCTGCTTTCCCTTTCTTTCTTTCTTTCTTTCTTTCTGTTCTTTCTTTCTTTCTTTCTTCCCCTTTGTTTTTGTCTTTGCACTCAGAAATTATTCCTGGCAGTGCTCAGGGGACCATATGGGATGCTGGGATAAACCCCAGGTCGGGTGCCTGTAAATCAAATATCCAACCTGCTGTCCTATTGCTCCAGATCCTCTATATCATTTCCCTTTGGGCGGGGGGGGGGGGGGGTCTGTGGTGGTGATACGGATGGGCCACCCTGGTGGTGCTGAGCGGCCTCACTCCTGATTCTGTGCTCAGGAACCATTTCTGGGGGACTCGGGGTACCATATAGGATGTTGGAGATTGAAGTCGAGTTGTCTACGTGCAAGGCAAATGCCCTACCCACTGTCCTATCTCTCCGGCCCCCTATGACTATTATTATTATTATTATTATTATTATTGTCACACGCAGCACAGCTGGGAAGCCTCCCAGCTCTGTGCCTGGGTGCTGCTCCCGATAGTGCTCGGATCGGACCTCAATCACCTCCCGCCTGCAAAGCCTGCACTGGGCCCACCCAACCACCCTCCCAGTGCCGGGAGAAAGGTCCTCGCGAGTGACTCACCTTTCTCCAGGAAGCCCAGGGCGCGTGTGCTGATCTCCTCCGTCAGCTGCCCCGATGTCTGTAGGTACTGCAGCACGTAGATGATGGGTGCGAAAAGCACCATGTTCTGTTCCCCGCAGCCGCTGGGCATCTGCACCAGGCTGTCAAGGTTCTGCAGGGCTGTGCCCATGATGTCTCCTGCAAATGCGTGGAGGGAAAGGAGCCCTGAGCAGCTGTCACTCAAGACACAGGCGCACATGACAGGGCATTTGGTTATTGCTGTTTTTTTTTGGGGGGGGGGTCATGTCCGGCAATGTACAGGGGTTCCTCCTTGCTCTGCACTCAGGAATTACTCCTGGCGGTGCTTGGGGGACCCTATGGGATGCTGGGAATCGAACCCGGGTCAGCCGCGTGCAAGGCAAATGTCTATCCGCTGTACTATCATCACTCCAGCCCTGGTTATCGCTGTTGTTGCTGGGTTTTGTTTATTCCTTTGTTTCTGGGCCACTTCCGGTGGTGCTCAGGTTTGACCCCTGATTCTGTGCTCAGGGATCCCTCCTGGTGGGGGCTTGGGGAACCACATGGGGTAGCTGGGGATTGAACCTGGGTGGGCTGCATGCTAGGCAGGCAGCCTACTTGCTGCTCTTTCTCTCTGCACCCATGCTGGTTTTTTTGTTTTTTTTTATGATTCACTGTGAGATACAGTTACAGACTTACAAACTTTCATGCTTACCTTTCAGTCACACAATGATCGAGTACCCATCCCTCCACCAGTGCCCATTCTCCACCACCAATGTTCCCAATATCCCTCCTGCCACCCCGCCACCCCTTCCCACCCCTGCCTCTGTGGCAGGCACATTCCCTCTGTCTCTGTCTCTGTCTCTGTCTCTCTCTCTCTCTTTTGGGGTGTTATGGTTTGCAATACAGATACTGAGAAACCATCATGTTTGGTCCATAATCTACTTTCAGCACAAATCTCCCATCCCGAGTGGGCCCTCCAACCACCATTGACTTAGTGGTCCCTTCTCCATCCCAGCTATCTTTCCCCCAGCACATCAGGCCGTTTTCCAAGCCATGATGCGATCCTCCTGGCCTTTATCTCTACTGCAGGAACAGTTTGTAGGGCACCTCTACTCCCATTTCCCAGACTTTCTCCCGGCCCCTTCTGGGGACACATTCCCTTTTACTCTCTCTCTCTCTCCTTTTGGGTGTTATGGTTTGCAATACAGGTAGTAAGTGGCCAGCATGTTTGGTCCTTAGTCTACTTCCAGCACTTCCCGAGAGGGCCCTCCAAGCATCATTCACTTAGTGGTCAATCTGTTAGTTTTGAGTCACCCTGTGCTCCTCAGGGCCTATTCCCATCTGGGCTTGAGGGTACATGCAGTGCCAGGGATCTGGGCCCTGGGCCTCCTGCCTGCCAAGCCCATGTCCCAGCTCTCTTCCTGGCCCTCCTTTGTCTTGGTTTTTGTCCATAGTTTTTTTATTGAACATTCTGGGTCACACTGGGAAATGCTCTTTTGAGGCTGACTCTTGCCTCTGCATTCATTAATTACTCCTGGCGGGGCTCGGGGGATCATACAGGATGCTGGGGTTTGAACCCAGAGCTGTCATATGCTGCCCACTGTGCTATCTATCACTCTGACCATTTCTCTACTTTTTTTTTTTGCTTTATGGGTCACATCTGGTGTTTGGCGTTGCACAGGGGTGACTCCTGGCTCATGCACTCAGGAATTACTCCTGGCGGTGCTTGAGGGACCATATGGGATGCCGGGAATCTAACCCAGGCCGGCCGCATGCAAGGCAAATGCCCTCCTCCCCGCTGTGCTATCGTCCCAGCCCCTCTCTACCTTCTTATGGTCACTTTCGGGCCCCTTTACCACCTCAATGCCATTCGGCTCAAACATGGCTTTGCAATGGCCAACTGCTTCTAAATTTCTGCCAACCCATTCAAGGAAGCTGATTTAGTGACTGGCTTCCTCCTGTCTCTGAATGGGAGCGCGCTCTCATCCCACTTGTACAGTGAGTAAGCCCTTACCTAAAATAAACTCTTCTTCCCTTGTTTTCCTGTGTTTCAGTAGGGGGTGCAAATTTAGCAGTGCTGGGGTGAAGCGATAGCACAACGGGGAGGGCGTTTGCTTTGCATGCGGCCGACCTGGGTTCGATTCCCGGCATCCCATCTGGTCCCCCAAGCCAGGAGTAATTCCTGAGTGCAGAGCCAGGAGTGACCCCTGAGCATCACTGGGTGTGACCCAAAAAGAAAAAAGAAAATTTAGCAGTGCTGCTGATGGCTGTGTGGGGGGGGGGGGGGCGGGGGGGGGGCGGGTGGCTACTGCTGGCTCTGTGCTCAAGAGCGACCCCTGGTGGTGCTGGGGGAAACCACGTCTGCCGGTTCTGTCTTGACTTCTGTCTTGACACATGGTCCCTTCTGATATTCCTCTGCCGCTCCCATGCCTCCCCCCCCCCCCCAACCCCTGCAGCCTCCACCCCTTTTGAGCCCAGCCCCTCCCCGCAGTGGCTCACCCAAAACAGTAACGTAAGCCTTGGTGGAATCAGGCACAACGTCCTTCGGGGGTTCCAGGGAAATGGATTCGGAGACGACTTTTCCTGGGAAAGGCAGAGCAGAGAGAGAGACATTAAGGTTGTGGGTGGGGAGTTCAGAGCAGTGGGACGGGGGGGGGGGGGGGGGGGAGGGGCGTGGGGGGCCTGGGGAGGGGGAGGGTGTTGGCCTTGCAAAATCCCCTAGGGTCCCCCTTAGAGTACTTAGAGTACTTAGAGTACCACCAGGAGTGGGACTGGAGTGCAAAGCCAGGGGTGACGCCTGAGCATCGCCAGGTGTGACCCCAAATGCAAAAAAAGAAATAAAGAAAAAGAAAAAGAAAGGTTGGTTGTTCTCTGGCTCAAAATACCGCTCCATAATTTTTTTTTTTTTTCCCCTGCACTGTGGGTTTACCACATGGTGGAAAAAGATTTTGGAAGTGACCAGGCGTGTTCAGGGCAGTATGGCTGGAGACTGGAGGAAGGTTCCAAAGGAAACCAGATTTCCCACGGGCGTTGCTGAAACTCCCTTCCCCAGAGAGCCTGGCTGTGCTGTGCGCCAGTCTCTCCCTCTCTCTCTCTCTCTTTTTTTTTTTTTTGGCTTTTCGGGTCACACTCGACAATGCCTGGGGGTTCCTCCTGGCTCTGCACTCAGGAATTCCTCCTGGTGGTGCTCGGGGGACCCTATGGGATGCTGGGAATCGAACACGGATCGGCCGTGTGCAAGGCAAATGCCCTACCTGCTGTGCTCAGCCCCAGTGCACCCGTCTCTAAGTTTCTTCTCGGTGAGTGGGTGTGGTGAGGGTGTCCCCCAGGAGACTGTCCTGACCCCTCTCATCCCGGCTATTCTTCCCTGGGCCCAAGAACGTGACACCTCCAGCCCTTCTCCCGGGTCACCCACCTCTGGGGCACAGCAGGGAGCTGTGTGTCTTCTCCACAGGAACACCTTCAGGCTGGCACAAGGGAAGACAAGGATGGTGGAGACAATGAGGCAACATGGAAGACAGATGTCAGGGCAGGGGGCTCAGAAAGACTAGGAGGGCAGGGGCCGGATAGATAGTACAATGGGGAGGGTGTTTGCCTTGCAAGCGGCCAACCCAGGTTCAATCCCCGGCATCCCGTATGGTCCCTGAGCGCTGCCAGGAGTGATTCCGAGTGCAGAGCTAGGAGTTAGCCCTGAGCATCGCCCCAGAAAAAAAGACATGAATGGATGGTGGAGAGAAGACTTGGCAGGTAGAGCGCAGGATTCACAGGCCCAGGTTTGATTCCTGGCACTGCAGGGATCCCCGAGGACAGAGCTGGGCGTGGGCCCCAGAGCATAAGGAGTGTGATTCCAAAGCCCCCACCCCCAAATAAAACCAAATAGAAATCGGGCATTTTGGGAGAGAGGAGAGACCTCATATGGCCCCCACCAGGGCGTCTCTGAGTGCTGGAGAAAATAGACTTTCTGGGACCAGAGCAATAGTCCAGCAGGGAGGGTGTTTGCCTTGCATGCAACCAACCCGAGTTCAATCCCCAGCATCCCATAGGGTCCCCTGAGCTCCGCCAGGAGTAATTCCTGAGTGCAGAGCCAGGAGGAACCCTGAGCATTGTCAGGTGTGACCCCAAAAGAAAAATAATAAATAAAAATAAAGTTCCTTAAAATAAAAAAAAGAAAGAAGAAGACGATGGAAGAAGGAGGAGGAAGAGGAGGAGGAGGAGAAGAAGAAGAAGGAGAAGAAGGAGAAGGAGGAGAAGGAGAAGGAGAAGGAGAAGGAGAAGGAGAAGGAAAAGAAGAAGAAGAAGAAGAAGAAGAAGAAGAAGAAGAAGAAGAAGAAGAAGAAGAAGAAGAAGAAGAAGAAGAAGAAGAAGAAGAAGAAGAAGAGACAAACACCATCCACGGCTGTGCCGGACACTTTCAGGGCATCAATGTGGACTCAGTAGTGAGGGGCACTGGGAGTCAGGGATGAGAGGAGCGTCTCCCGCCCCCCTCACCCAGGTGGCAAGGTTTGTGCAGAGAGCAAGGGGGGGCAGTGCTTAGCCGGCCCCCTGCATCCCGCTGGCCTCCCCCACACTCACCTTGACCAGAACGGGCTTGATGAGGGTGTCACTCCGGCCCTTCGCAGGGACAAAGCCCTTTCGGCCCCCGCAGGGTTCATCACTGTCCAGAATTTGAGTGGTCACAGTGAAGTTGACATGACCTGAGAGGAAAGTAAGTACAGCATCCACTCAGGGTCCTGAGGAGGTCAGGGGCTCTTTCTTCCCCTCCCCTCTGCAGTTCTCTCGTACTTGAGGACACTGTCGCCACCTGTGGAGCCTGGCCTGCCCTTCCAGTCCTACTTAGGAGTCCCTTTGTCCAAGGACTTCTCACCCCCAGCACAGAAAACCCTGACTCAGTGGATTTGGGGCAGGGGATCGGGTAGGGCCCATATTCTAAATTCCCCCCCCCCCTTGGGGGATGGGGTGGACAGCCAACAGTGCTCAGGGTCTACTCCTGACTCTGTGACTGGGCATAGAGCCTACCAGCCCTTCCTCCTGGCAGTGCTGGAGTGGGGGTGGGGGGAACCGTCAGCGGGTGCCGGGAGTGGCACTGGGTTGGTCGCCCACAATGCAAGCACCTTGCCCTGGTGCCCTCTCTCGACCTCGCTTATTTCTTATCAGCACAGACTAGTATGGCCAAAACCAGCCAGAGCGATAGGACAGTGGGTTGGGCATTTGCCTTGCACGCGGCTGACCGGGGTTCGATCCCCGGCAGCCCATAGGGTCCCCACAGAGCACCGCCAGGAGTAACTCCTGAGTGCAGAGCCAGGAGTGAGCATTGCCGGATGTGTCCCCCAAAAGAAAAAAAATATCAGAAGAGGGGAGAGATTCGCAGTACACGCCGCCGCCTCTTACCCAGCTGCGTGGCCGTGATGTCCCAGTGAAGGGTTTTGGCCTCATCCGCACACAGGCAGCTGGAGGCTTGGGGGTCTGCTGGTGAATCCACGCGGTAGGCATCCGATGCCGCCAGATCAGTCTGGACCTGGTCACAGTGACGAGGGGGGGGGGGGTTGGGGGACGGGAGGTAGCACAGTTATAGGGCAACCCTTGGTACCCCAAACTCCCTGCAAGCACTGTCGGGTGCAGCCCTGGAGGACCCAGCGCTAACAGGGTGCCCTGGATACCCCCAGCACCCAGCACCCCATGGCTGGGGCCCTTGCCTTGAACAGCTGGCTCAGTCACCTGGCGGAGAATCACAGATGGGGACTCCACCCAAGCACTGCTTGGGAGCACCCCCCCCCCAAAAAAAAGTCCAAGTATCTGATGAGTAAAACAGACAGTACTCAGAGGGCTGGAGTGATAGTACAGCAGGTAGGGCGTTTGCCTTGCATGCGGCCGACCCCGGTTCGATTCCTCCGTCCTTCTCAGTGAGCCCGGCAAGCTACCGAGAGTATCCCACCCACATGGCAGAGCCTGGCAAGCTCCCCGTGGTGTATTCGAGATGCCAAAACCAGTAACAACTAGTCTTACAATGGAGACGTTACTGGTGCCTGCTCGAGTAAATTGATGAACAATGGGATAACAGTGCTACAGTGCTACCCAGAGGCTTAGGGATATTTGGGGGGCTGGCTGTCCCAGTGACATCCTTCCTGGTACTCCCAAGTGATGCTCCCCACCTGGGCACAAACTTCGGGGCCCCTGGTCCCCTGCCGCTCACCCTGATACACTCCTTCAGGTAGTTGAAGACGGTGGCGGAGAGGAGAAAGGCCTCCCCGCGGACCACGGAGTAGGGCAGGGTCAGGTCCACGAAGAAGGGCTGGAAGGCCGTCAGCCCCACGGGCGGGGAGAGGCCGAAGCCGCGGGCCCGGGAGGTGCAGAAGGTCACAGCCTTCCACTCGGTGATGGAATCGGGGACCACCAGGGGCACCACCTCCTCCCCCGAGCTCCTGCCAGAAAGAAACCCAGAAGCCGGAGTGAGAACCCGAGAGGCCACGAGGCCTGGCGGTGGGGGTGGGTGAGAGGGGGCTGGTGTGGAGAGACGAGGATGGGGTTCAGGGACCCCTCTGCTGAGATGCATCCCAGGCCCCAATAGGTGCTTTTATTTTGCCGGTCACACCCAGCAATGCTCAGGGTTCCTCCTGGCTCTGCCCTCAGGAATTACTCTTGGTGGTGCTTGGGGGACCCTCTGGGATGCTGGGGATTGAACCTGGGTTGGCTGAGTGCAAGGCAAGCATCCTTCCAGGTTGGTTTTCTTTCTTTCTTTGTTTCTTTCTTTGTTTCTTTCTTTCTTTCCTTTCTTTCTTTCTTTTTTTCTTTTTGGGTCACACAGCAATGCTCAGGGGTTACTCCTAGCTCTGCACTCAGGAATTACCTCTCAGGTGGTGCTCATCTGGGATGCTGGGAATCGAACCTAGGTCCGCCACGTGCAGGGCAAACACCCTCCCTGCTGTGCTATTGCTCCAGCCCCCCAATAGGTGCTTTTGACTTTGTGGGGTTCTGGACTGGGCCTGCACCATCCTCAGTGTACATAGGAAGGGGGCAGGGAGGAGGGGAGGAGTGCACACCCACTGGTGTCAGAGGCTACTCCTGGCTCTGTGCTCAGGGGTCAGCCTTGGTGCTCAGAGACGGTATGTGATGCAGGGGGCCCAAACCCGTGTCCGCTGCATGCAAAGAAAACACCTCAACTCTGCCCCATTTCCTAGCCCCAGAGGTCTGGGTCTGTTTTCTGGTTTTTGCTTTGGGGGCAGTGCTCAGGGATCACTCCTGGCCCTGCACTCAGGACTTGCTTCTGGTGGTGCTCTGGGACCCTATGGGATGTCGGGGATCGAACCCGGGTCAGTTGCGTGCAAGATAAACACCCTCTCTGCTGGACTGTTGTTCCAGTCCCTTCTTTGTCTTGTTTGTTCTTTTAAGCCGTCCCTGGCAGTGCTCAGGGATCATTCCTGGCTGGGCTTGGGAGACCCTATGCTGAGATGCACCCCGGACCCCCAGTAGGTGCTTTTGACTTTGAGAGGTTCTGGACGGGGCCTGCACCAGCCTCCGTGTATATAGGAAGATGAGGCAGGCGGCAGAGGGGGAGCGGGTGCACACCCTGTGGTACCAGAGGCTACTCCTGGCTCTGTGCTTATACGGGGTTCATGGAATTAAACCCCGGGGTCAGTCAGATGCAAGGCAAGTGTCTTACCCACTGTCCTCTCTCTGGACCCTCTGCATTTGTTTTCTTTTTCCTTTTGGCTTTTGTGTCATACCTGGCAGGGGTTACTCCTGAGTCTGCACTTAGGAATCACTCCCAGTGTTGCCTGGGCGACCCTCTGGGATGCCGGGGATTGAGCCTGGGTTGGCTGTGTGCAAGGCAGGCAGACTTCTGGGTATTTTTGTTTTGTTTTGCTTTGTTTTGTTTTTTGCTTTTTGGGTCACACCCAGCGATGCTCAGGGGTTACTCCTGGCTCTCCTGGGCTCGGGGCACCATATGAAATGCTGGGAATTGAACCCGGAGTGGCTGCATGCAGGGCAAATGCCTTCCCCACTGTCCTATCACTCTATTTTTTTTCTCTCTGAGGGGAGGTTGAGGTCACACCAGTAACCCACAAAGGCGTTACTCCCAGCTTGGTGCTCAGGGGGTGGTTCCCAGCATTGCCCAGGGAGCTATGGAGTGCCGGCTCGAACTCGGGGCTCCTTTCAGCAAAGCCCACACTGGGTTCAGCCCTTAGAGCCACAAGCTTGGTCCCCACCATTGACTCTCCTGGGCGTGAGGTTCCAGAGCTGCAGTGGGTTGATCCTGAGTTCTCTGGTCTGGCTCCCCTCAGGCGGACTCACCCAATGGGGAACAGATCCCAGAGCCACGTCTCGGGGAAGTACTGGCGGATGGATGACCCTTCCGGAAGCGAGGAGGTCGACGTGAAACCATCTGGGTGGTTGAGAGCATCTTCTAGACGGGCTGAGAACACAGGGGCTTTGGCAAGCAGCTCACAGTACCCCAGACCAGGAGGAAAGATCCCTGGGGCGCTGAGCACTGAGCCTGTGTGTGCATGCGTGCATTTGTGTGTGCACATGTGTGTGCATGCTTGTGTGTGCGTGTGTGGGCATGCATGTTTGTGTTTGTGCACGTGTGTGTATGCATGTGCGTCTATGCATGTGTGCACATGTGAGTTGTTGCATGTGTAAGTTCACATTTGTGCACATAGGTGTGCCTCTGTGTGTGTGTGTGTGTGTGTGTGTGATGAAAGGAAGCAAGTGGGGGTTGAGTCCAGAAATGAACAGCGACAGATTTCAGGCTTCCCAAGTCCTCCCCAGGGGCCAAAGAGAAAGTTCAATGGGTAGAGCTTGGCATGCAGGAGGTCCCGGTTTGGTCCCCAGCAACACATGGTCCCCCTGAGCACAGAGCTCGGAGTAGCTGCTGAGCACTACTGGATGTAGCTCAAAAAATAACAGATCCGAGAGAGAAAGAGAGAGAGAGAGAGAGAGAGAGAGGCGAGGAAACTGCCTTCCTCTAGGGCCCCAGCCCTGAACGATTGGAGGCTGGCAGTGCCTTGTCTGAAGAGGAAGTCAAGAGGCAGAGGCAGCTCTTGGAGTCACAGTTCCTGAAAGCTTAGTGGATACATGAGTGTGTGTGGGGGTGTGTGTGTGTGGGGGGGGACTTACCTCCTCCTCCAGCTACAGAAGTGTCATATTTTGAATTCCAGCGGGTGCAATCTACAGGCTTCTTGATCTTGGCATTGGTCAGCACTTTCAGGCCCATATTCTGGCAGGTACCAAAACAAGCAGAGAAAAAAAAGGACTTGCTGGGAGAGGGGGGGTCCTTCCCCTTATGTCAAGGGCTCCTCCCTGCCTAGATATTCCACCCAACCCAAAGGGCAGGATCCATACATTCTCCTCTGATTCACTATGGGACTAATGCCCCCCACTTCCTCCCCCCTCCTCGCAAGCTCAGCCCCCCAAGATAAATTCGCTTCGACCCAGCACTCGTGAAAGTCTTCTGATGAACTGGGGGTCCTTGGGAGCTCTACTTCCTGCTTCTTCCCACCGTGAGCGTCCATGAGTTATTATTGGAGCTAGACTGAACTTGGCATTGCTGAGGATCGAACCCAGGGCAGGTGTGTGCTCCACCCCAGGGTTATGCCTGGCCTTAGGCTTCCTGTCTAAGGAAGGGGCCAGAGCTGGTCCACCAATTAAACAAAGATGCACTGGAGCATTAGGAAGGATGAGGCATCGCGGGGAACCCAGGAGCAGACGGCTCCTGACTCCTGGTCCTCCACTGGGGCACTGGGCCACAGCATTGCAAACTTTCGAGGCGGCAGAGGCTCTATTTACAGGCCCGCGGCTCACTTTCAGCCAGAACGGCCAAGACCATTTGTTCCTTCCAAAGCCTTGGTCATAGCAGCTGAAGAACAGCCACTCTCTCCCCCAACACCACCCGTTTCCCTGATGCCATCAGATCTTTTTTTTTTTTCCTTTTTGGGTCACACCTAGTGATGCACAGGGGCTCCTCCTGGCTCTGCACTGCGAAATCACTCCTGGAGGTGCTCAGGGGACCATTTGCGGATGCTGGGAATTGAACCCGGGTCAACCGTGTGCAAGGCAAACCCCCTCTCCACTGTGCTATCGCTCCAGCCCTGTCATTAGAGATCTTGATCTGGAGTTCCTTTTGAAGATATTCAATTACTGCAGACAGCTAACACGATCGCTTTCTAGATAGAATTTCCTGCCCCACCCCCATCCCCCCAGCACCAACATCGTGTCGGTAAAAAACACGAACCTGGAAGAAACTGAAGACATCGGTGCTCTCCGAGTACCACGGCCTCCAGATCATGGAACGCGCGCTCGAACGCCCTTCAGGCACAGGGTCTACGAGTGGCGGGCCCCAGGGCCCAGCTGCAGGACACTCGTCATATTCGGCCACCTGATACGGGTAGTGACCATACCAGAAGGGGAACAGCCCGTAGACCTGAGGTCCAGGGGGAAGGAAAGTCATGCTCAGCATTGCGACATTCTCTGAGAAACATCTCTCAGATTCTGCGCCCGGCCGTGGTCCCAGCTCCTCCCGTCTCTCCCTCTCCCGCGGGCTCCCATCTATGGCATCAGGAACTTGGGGCTTTTCACCACACGTTCACTTCTTTTTGTTGTTGTTGTTGTTGTTGTTTTTGCTTTTTTGGGTCATACCTAGTGATTCTCGGGGGTTACTCCTGGCTCCGCATTCAGGAATTACTCCTGGTGGTTGCTCGGGGGACCCTATGGGATGCCGGGGATCGAACCCTGGTCGGCTGTGTGCAAGGCAAATGCCCTAATCGCTGTACTATCGCTCTGGCCCAACTCCTGGTTTTGGTTGTTCTGTTTGGGGGCGACACCCGGGAGTGCTCAAGGGTCACTCCTGGCTGGGTTCAGGAAACCAGGTGGGATGCTGGGGATCAAACTTGGGTCGTATGAGAACACGGCAAATGTCCTCCTCTCTGTCCTGTGGCTCTGGCCCCATCCACTTAACTTCTACTTGACCTTTCTTCAGACTCTGTCCCCTACATCTCCCATCTCATCTTTCTCAGCCTATAATCAGACCCTCATCCAAGGAGTTCCACATGGGCTTTGTTTTCCTTTTCTCTTTCTTTCTTTCTTTCTTTCTTTCTTTCTTTCTTTCTTTCTTTCTTTCTTTCTTTCTTCCTTCCTTCCTCCCTCCCTTCCTCCCTCCCTCCCTCCCTCCCTCCCTCCCTCCCTCCCTCCCTCCCTCCCTCTTTCTCTTTCTTTCTTTCTTTCTTTCTTTCTTTCTTTCTTTCTATGTTTTTGGGTCACACCCGGCGATGCACAGGGGTTACTCTTGGCTCTGCACTCAGGAATTACTCCTGGTAGTACGCAGGGGACCGTATGGGATGCTGGGAATCAAACCCAGGTCGGCTGCGTACAAGGCAAACACCTTACCTGCTGTGCTATCACTCCAGCCCCTCTTTCTTTCTTTCTTTCTTTCTTTCTTTCTTTCTTTCTTTCTTTCTTTCTTTCTTTCTTTCTCTCTCTCTCTCTTTCTTTCCCTTCCTTCCTTCTTTCCTTCCTTCCTTCCTTCCTTCCTTCCCCTTCCTTCCTTCCTTCCTTCCTTCCTTCCTTCCTTCCTTCCTTCCTTCCCCTTCCTTCCTTCTTTCCTTCCTTCCTTCCTTCCTTCCTTCCTTCCTTCCTTCCTTCCTTCCTTTTCTTTCCTTCCCCTTCCTTCCTTCCTTCCTTCCTTCCTTCCTTCCTTCCTTCCTTCCTTTTCTTTTTACTTCTTTCTTTCTTTTTGGTTATCTGGGCCAAACCTGGCGATGCTCAGGGATTACTCCTGGCTCTGCACGCAGGATTTACTCCTGGCGGCGCTCAGGAGCAGGAGACCCTATGAGATGCTGGGGATTGAACCTGGGTCAGCTGCATGCAAGGCAAACGCCCTCCCCGCTGGGCTATCGCTCCAGTTCCCCACACTGGCTGTTCCATCGCCTGTTGTGGGGGGCTTCATGTCCTTGAGACTTTCTCTCCCGCCCCACCCCGAGCAGCCATCTCCTCACGGAACGCAGGCAGCCGGGTGACCCGGGCTTCCCCGGGAGCTGAACTCACGGAGCTGTTGGTCAGTTCTCTCTCCGGTCGGAGCAGCAGGACGCTCTCATCCACGGCCCGGATGGCGCACAGGGACCGAGGCGCCGCCTGCAGCCGCAGCTCCACCCCAGCTCCTGGGAGCTGCTGGGAGGGTGAGAAGCTCGTGGACACCTGGGTGGTGGGGGGGGAACAGGAAAAAGAGAAACTGAGGGCAGCTCAGCGGGGAGAGGCCAAAATCAAATTCAAAATTAAAAGCAAAAGAGAAAATTTTTTTCTTTTTCTTTTTTTTTTCTTTTTGGGTCACACCCGGTGATGCTCAGGGGTCACTCCCAGCTCTGCACTCAGGAATCACTCCTGGCAGTACTCAGGGGACCCTATGGGATGCTGGGAATTGAACCCAGGTCGACCGCGTGCAAAGCAAATGCCCTACCCTCTGTGCTATCGCTCCAGCCCAAAAAGAGAGAAAATTTTTTAAAAAGAAAATTTTGTTTGGGGGTCACACCTGGCAGTGCTCAGGGGTTACTCCTGGCTCTGTGCTCAGGGATCACTCCTGGTCGGGCTCCAGAGACCATATGGGGTACTGGAGATGAAACCCAGGTCAGCCACGGGCCAGGCCCATGTCCTTGCTGTAGTAGCTCTCTAGCCCACCCCCCTCAAAGAATTTTATTCTTTTTTTTTTTTTCTTTTTGGGTCACACCTGGTGATGCACATGGGTTACTTCTGGCTCTACACTCAGTAATTACTCCTGGCAGTGCTTAGGGGACCATATGGGATGCAGGAATTGAGCCCGGGTCGGCCGCATGCAAGGCAAACACCCTACCCACTGTGCTATCACTCCAGCCCCTTATTATTAATTTATGAAAATTTATTGACTACTGTGCTTTCGTCATAAAAACTTATGAACTTGGTCTTTCCTTCTTGCCTCTGTATAAAGCCAAAAGAGACACGTTGGCTACTTTGACAACCTTGAAGTGGAATCCGGGAATGTCACCAACAGCATGCCCTTTGCAACCTCTTAATTTAGAAAAAAATAAAGTGGAAGCAAAGTCATAGGTCTAACAGCCTGGGGGGCCCTGTGGCATCCAGATGCTCTTCCTCACACATGAATTTTCTCTGGGAGTTTCATTTGTTTGATTGATTGGGGTTTTGTTTGTTTTTTTGTTTGGTTTTCAGTTTTTTGAGTCACACTGAGCAGTGCTCAGGGCTTACTCCTGGTTCTGTGCTCAGTAGCAACCCCCGACAGTGCTCAGAGGACCTCTTATGGTGTTGGGGAATTTGTTCATTTGTTCTATTTTGTTTGAGGGCCACACCCAGAAGTGCTCAGGGATTACTCTATACTCCGGAATTACTGCTGGTGGTGCTCAGAGGACCATATGGGATGCCGAGGATCAAACCTGTGCAAAGCCCTCCCCGCCGTACCATAACTCCAGCCCCAGATCTGAGGATTCAAACCCAGGTTGGGCCTATTGAAGCCGTGTGCAAGGCAAGTGATTGTCGCCAGCCCGACAGTGACTTCCTTTGGGGAAGTCTAGCCCTTTCGAACCAGTGATGCATGACAAAGTTGTAGAAAGTGAACAACACCACAGAAGGAGTTAAACAACGTAAAAGAGAAGAACCAGGAGAGAAGAAAAGCACCTGCCACAGAGGCAGGCAGAGGGTGGAGGGTGGGGGTGATAGGAGGGAACCTGGGGACACTGGTACTGGGAAAAGTACACTGGTGGAGGGACGGGTGTTGGAACACTGTGTCACTGAAATCCAATCATGAACAGCTTTGTAAGGGTCTATCTCACACTGATTCCATTTTTAAAAATTAAATAAAAAAAAAACCAGAAGAACTGGAAAGAGGAAGAAACAACAGGAGCACCTGGCTGATGTTTTCTGAACAGCAGGAGAGTTTAATAAAACTGAGAGAAAAAGGGCCAGAGTGATAGTACAGCAAGGAGGGCATTTGCCTTGCATGTGGCTGTCCTGGGTTCGATCCCCGGCATCCCATATGGTCCCCCAAGCACTGCCAGGAGTAATTCCTGAGTGCAGAGCCAGGAGGAACCCCTGAGCATCGCCGGGTGTGACCCCCCCAAAAAAATAATAATAAAATTTAAATTTTAAAAAAATGAGGGAAAAATAGACACACACAGTATCTAGCATTACTGAGCTCTTCCTTCCCCGCCCCGTCTTCTCTCCAGACACACACACACACACACACACACACACACACACACACACACACACACTGCACACACACACTGTCACATGCGAACTCTCTGAATTTCTGCTTCTGCTTCTCCCAGGGTGTTTTACCTGATTCTCAAAGCACATCTCCACGGAGAACTGCACCCTGTCCGCGATGACGCCTCCACCCGGGAAGATGGCGTAGACCAGCAGGGAAGGATCGGGGGCGGTTCTGGAACTGAAGGTCAGCGTGAGGGAGAAGGAGCCCTTGGGTCCTGAAAGAGAACGGACCGTGACACTCTCGCAGGGAGCACTCCCAGTCACGGGTCACTGCCGCCCGCTGGACCACCCTGGGCTTCTTGCTGAGTCTCCTGCTTCTTCTGTGGTTGATCTCAAGGTCCTCCCCATCCTGCTGTTTCGATTTTGTTTGAGTTTGTTCTTTTTCTTTGGGTTTTTGAGTCATACCTGGCTCTGTGTTCAGGCATCACTCCTGGCAGGGCTGGGGGGATCATAGATAGTGCCCAGGATGGAACCCAGGTCGGCCACGTGCAAAGCAAGCTCCCTGTTAATGTCCTATCATTCAGGCTGTATCAATTGGGCTGTATCATTCGGGCTGTTCCTTATAGGTTTTACTTTTTTGTTTGCTTGTTTCTTTTTTCTCCCCTTTTTGGGTCACACCCCTGCACTCAGAAATTACTCCTGGTGGTGCTTGGGGGACCCTATGAGATGCTGGGAATCGAACCCGGGTCGGCCACAAGCAAGGCAAACGCTGTACCCACTGTGCTATCGCTCCAGCTCCTCCTTAGAGGTTTAAAGTCCCCTTCTGCGAATGCCCTGCCACAGAGGCAGGGTGGGATGGAGGGATGGGGGATGGGAGGGATACTGGGATCCGTGGTGGTGGGAAATGGGCACTGGGGGAGGGATGGGTATTTGATCATTGTATAATTGAAACCCAAGCACAAAAATTTGTAAATCTACAACTGTACCTCATGATGTCTCATTAATAAATAAATAAATAAATAAATAAAGTTCCCTTCCGAGAGATGCGTGAGTACTTACCTTGCTTCTTATAGTTCAGTTGTTTCTGCCCTTCCAGCTCCAAACTCCCTTTCCCCATTAACTGTGGAAGAGGGAGAGGGGGAGATAGATGGTTGGCAGCATGGACATCCCAGGCCTGGACTATCAAGGGCATCCCTGCACAGGGAGCTCCTTGGAGGGACCAGGACCTGGGCGCACCCCTTACGGAGCATCCTTGAACCTTCAAACATCTTTTTTTTTTTAATTTTTGGATCACACCCAGTGATGCACAGGGATTACTCCTGGCTCATGCACTCAGGAATTACTCCTGGCGGTGCTCAGAGGACCATATGGGATGCTGGGAATCAAACCCGGCTCACCTGCGTGCAAGGCAAATGCCTTGTTTTGGGGGACACAGCCAGAAATGGTGGGGTTCACACCCAGCAATGCTGGGGGTTCCAGGCAGGGAACCCGGGCCTCTCACAGACAAAGCATGTATCCCACCATTGTGAGCCATCTCCTTGCCTGCTATTCCATTTTCCCCCGGGTGATGTCTAGCATATTTGCAGTGACCGCTGAGGCTCATTCTGTGTCCTGCTGGACAGCGGAGGGTCTCCCTGCCTCTCTGACTTCCGGCCCTCACTCCCTTTCTGGTTCTCAGACCCCAGCCTCACATACGTAGTAGGAGAAGACGACTTCTTGGTCCGGGCTGGCATCGCTGGGATGGATGTAGTAATCCACCCACACCTCCTGGGGCTGGTGGCACTTCAGGAGGCCCTCGGGCCGGCCGATGGTGAGGAAACTGCGGGTGGTGTTGTAGAAAGGTTGCAGGTACAGGTAGGCGTTCTGGTAGTACCGGGGCACCGCCTCAGGGTTATAAACGTCGTCTTTCAAACTGAACCTGCCCTGAGAGAGAGAGGGACACGGCCTTGTGAGCCCCTCGGCTCAGCAGGAGTTTTGTTTTGTTTTTCTTTTTGTCACACCAGCAATGCACAGAGATTCTCCGCACTCAGGAATTACTCCTGGCGGTGCTCAGGGGACCCCATGGGATGTTGGGAATCGAGCCCAGGTTCACTGCTTGCAAGGCAAACCCCACTGTGATATCGCTCCAGCCCCAAGAGGAGTTTTGTTTTGTGGGTTGCTTTGTTTTGCTTTGGGGGCCATACCTGGTATTGCTCAGGGCTTCCTCCTGGATCTGGGCTAAGGAATCACCCTGGTGAGGCTTACAGGGCCATATGGGATGCCGGGAATTGAACCTTGGGTTGCCACATGCGAGGCAAGCATCTTAGCCTCAACTATCGTGATAGCCCCATGAGAATGCCAAGCTCTGGACGACCTTTACTTTTTAGGGGGTGGGGCGGAAGATTTGGACCACACCTGGCTCTGCTCAGGACTTACTCCTGGCTCTGTGCTCAGGGATCACTCCTGGATTCAACCAGGTTGGCCACATGCAAGGCAAGGACCCCACCCGCTATACTATCTCTCCGATCTAATTTTGGGTAACTTAGCAGGAAGGCAATTCGTGTGTTATTAAGAGTGAGGTGAGGATGCTTAGGGATCCCCGGGGTCAGCTCTTGAGAGTGCTCGACAGCTGAGCGCCTTCTTCTCAGGCAGGAGGCCCACGTTCACTTCTCAGCACCACATTGTCCCCTGAGCACTATACTAGGAGCAATCCTTGATCACAGAACTAGTTGTAGTGCCCCCAGTGGCCTCTTTTATTTGGGGGTGTGTATGGGGAGAACACCCAGCAATGCTCAGGGTTTACCCCTGGCTCTGTGCTCAGGAATCACCCCTGGTGAGGCTCGGGGGCTATATGGGATGCTGGGGATCGAACCCGGGTTGGCCACATGCAAAGCAAGTACCTTATCCACTGGACCATTGCCACAGCTCCATGATAATGCCACGGGCGGGAGACTTGGGCCATACCTGGCTAACCTCAGGACTTATTCCTGGCTCTGTGCTCAGGGATCACTCCTGGCAGTGCTCAGGGGACCATATGGGATGCCAGGGATTGAATCTGGATGGGCCACATGCAAAGCAAAAGCCCTCCCCATCTTGCTATCACTTTGCCCGATACAGACTTTGATTTCTATATAAACCTGGTCGGCTTCTGCACCCCCCAGACCTCCATCTGTGAAGGCTTTACTGTCTCCTGCTCCCTCTCCCTGAGAAGCCTGACTCAGCCCTGACTGCTCCCCAGAACATCTTGTTTTGGAAAAAAAAAAAAGAATAACTAGAATAGGTAGGGTGTTCGCCTTACACGCGGCCAACATGGCCGACCCGAGTTCGATTCCTCCGCCCCTCTCGGAGAGCCCGGCAAGCTACCGAGAGTATTTGATATGCCAGACACAGTAACAACAAAGTCTCCAATGGAGACGTTACTGGGCCCGCTCAAGCAAATCGACGATCAACGGGAGGGCCTTTACCTTTACCTTTAACTAGGGGCCGGTGCGATAGTACAGCAGGTAGGGCATTTGCCTTGCATGCGGCCAACCTGGGTTTGATCCCCAGCATCCCATATGGTCCCTCCCAAGCACCGCCAGGAGTAATTCCTGAGTGCAGAGCCAGGAGTAACCCCTGAGCATCGCTGGATGTGGCCCCCTCCACCCCCACCCCCACCCCCCCCAAAAAAAGAATAATTAAAAGTAAATTAAATGAAAAACAAGCCGTGGAGTCAGGAGATCGCGGCTGGGGATCTGTTTCCGGGTCAGAGCAACTGCACTGTGGGCTTGAGGTTGCAAATTCGATCCAGGCCACACCTCCACACAGTCCCTTTTGCCGTCTAGGGCAAACCCAAGCCCAGTTGAGCAAGAAGGAGGGATGAAACATGTGCTTCCAGCCCTCAGCACCACCACAAAGCCGGGTCTAAGGCGAAGGGTCTGGGGAGCAGAACCATCCCAGGGGGAGGATCTGGGGTTTGTAAACGCATGGGGGTGGGAGGGAACCAAGACCCCCGTTTTCTTCGACCCTCCCTGGACAGCTGGTCTGCCCTTGCTTACCTCCAGGGAAATGCCTGTGGCGTTCCATGGAGCTGTGTCCAGTTCGAAGGAGGCAAGACCGTTGTCATCGGTGGTGAGAATCTTCTCGGTGGTTTTATTGGTGCCCCGGATCACCAGGAACAGATCCTGGTTCCTGAGGAGGGCGCCGCTGTGGTCCCTCGCTCTTACCTGAGGGAGAGAAGTTGAGAGCGAGGTTCGAGCAGGTTTGAGTAGGAGGCAGATGGGGAAGGTCAGAGAAATGTTCAAGAATCAGACGGGAGAGGGGCTGGAGCGACAGCCCAGCGAGGAGGGTGTTTGCTTTGCACATGGCCAACCTGGGTTCGATTCCCAGCATCCCATAGGGTCGCCCAAGCACCGCCAGGAGTAATTCCTGAGTGCAGAGCCAGGAGGAACCCCTGGCATCACCGGGTGAGACCCCCCCCCAAAAAAAATGAATCAGATGGGAGAGGGGCTGGATCAATAGTCCAGCAGGGAGGGCATTTTCCTTGCATAAGAATGACCCGGGTTCGATCCCCGGCATCCCACACAGTACCCAAAGCCCAACCAGAAGTAATTCCTGAGCGCAGAGCCAGGAGGAAGCCCTGAGCATCGCTAGGTGTGGTCCCAAAAGCAAATTAAAAAAAAAAAATGCTGAGGATATGACTCAGGGGGTAGATGCCTGTGTTTCCCCTTGTGTGAAGCCCCGAAACGAATCGCCCACATCACAGCAACCAAGAAATAATAAACCGATGAATCCGTCCACACCGTCCATGGCGAGTCTAAGTTTCCAGGAAGGAGGCGGCGGCAGAGACGCATCTCAACGTACCTTCCCGCTGAAGGGGAAACCGGGGTAGTAGAAACTGTTGGTGTCTTCAAAGGTCACAGACCCCATCTGCGAGGAAATGTAGATCTCCTGCGTGGTGTTGGCCTCCACACCTGCAGAAGGAAGCGGGAAGGACTTCCACACCCGACTTCCTCACCTTGGGGTTTCCACAGAATCCTGGAAGGTGGGGTTCTGGGGGTGGGAGCCCAGATAGCATGTCTTTGTGTGGGGGGGGGGGGGGCAGGGGAGAGGTTTGGGCCACACCCAGTGGTTCTGTGTGCATGAGGACCTTATGAAGTGGCGGGGATCGAACGGAGGGAGTGAGGTGAGAGTTTTGGCACACGCAAGGCAAGTACCTTCGCTCCTGTGCCATCACCTCAGTCCTGGGGCTGGTCAAATATCCCAGTGAGCTCTTCCCCCACAAACTTTGGGGAGCACGAGGTGGAAGGCAGAGCAAGAGGCAGCAACTCAGAACTAAGTCTGTCTGCAACACGGAGGAGTCCCGACTCTTACTGGGTTCTCACCCTCTCTCACTCTTTCATTCCTTTTTCTTTCTTTCTTTCTTTCTTTCTTTCTTACTGGTTGCATCCTCCTTTATTTTATTTTTTCCTTTTTGGGTCACACCTGGCATTGCACAGGGGTTACTCCTGGCTCATGCATTCAGGAATTACTCCTGGCGGTGCCTGGGGGACCATATGGAATGCTGGGAATCGAACCCGGGTTGGCCGTGTGCAAGGCAAACGCCCTACCCACTGTGCTATTTCTCCAGCCCCTCTTTCTTTCTTTCTTTCTTTCTTTCTTTCTTTCTTTCTTTCTTTCCTTCCTTCCTTCCTTCCTCCCTCCCTCCCTCCCTCCCTCCCTCCCTCCCCTCCCCTCCCCTCCCTCCCTCCCTCCCTCCCTCCCTCCCTTCTTTCTTTCTTTCTTTCTTTCTTTCTTTCTTTCTTTCTTTCTTTTTTTTCTTTTTGAGTTACACCCAGCGATGCTCAGGGATTCCTTCTGGCTCTGAACTCAGGAATTACTCCTAGTGGTACTCAGGGGACCATATGGGATGCCAGGGATCGAACCCGGTGCAGCTGTGTGCAAGGCAAACACCCTCCCTGCTGTACTATCACTCTCGCCCACCCACCCTTCCTTCCTTCCTTTCTTTTTTCTTTCTTTCTTTCTTTTTTTTTTTTTTTGGCATTTTTCTGGGTCACACCCAGCGATGTTCAGGGTTTATTCCTGGATCTGCACTCAGGAATTACTCCTGGCGGTGCTCGGGGGACCCTACGGGATGCTGGGGATGGAACCCAGGTGGGCACATGCATGGCAAACACCCTCCCCGCTGTGCTGTCGCTCCGGCCCCACATTCCTTCTCCTTTCTCCTGTGCCCGGGAGCATCTCTACTTACCAGTCCCATCCTCCACCACCGTGGCCACAACGTTGACGCTGTGACTGTACATGTACCCGGTGAGGTTGAAGGTGCTCATGTCCACGGGAGCGGAGAAGCAGCCCATTTTGTCCGTCTGGTGAGATAACAAAGAGGGGAGTGAACCACCTCATTTCTGCTTCTGCTTCATCATGGATGGTAGATTCCGCCCCCCCCCCCACCTCCCCACACTTTATCTTCTTCATCAGTTTTGGTATGGGGTGGGTTGGGGGGGATACACCCAGAGGTGCTCAGGGCTTATTCCTGTCTGTGCTCAACAGCTGGAGTTGTTCAGGACCAGAGAGATCATCCTGTGTGTAGGTGCTTGCCTTGCAGACACCTGACTCAGGTTCGATCCCTAGCAGCCCTACAGGAGTGATCCCTGAGCACTGAGCCAGGAGTCAGTCCTCAGCCTAGTGCCCACCCTTCTGCTCCCCCAAAAGTTGGCCACATACAGGGCAAGTGCTTTAACCCCTGAACTAACTCACCAGCCCTCTTCTTCCTCTTTAAGCTAGTCAATCTCTCCTATCTCCCAAGGACAGGGGATGGAGCGATAGTCTAGTAGGGAGGGCTTTTGCCTTGCATGTGGCTGACCCGGGTTCGATTCCCAGCATCCCATAGGGTCCCCCGAGCAGTGCCAGGAGTAATTCCTGAGTGCAGAACCAGGAGGAACCCCTGTGCATCGCTGGGTGTGACCCAAAAAGAAAAATAAAATATATCTCCAAACCTATCTCCCAAGGACAGATGCCCACAGGAGTAATTGACCTTCTAGGAGGAGAGAAGGCAGGAAGAACCCAGTCTGGAAGAGGAGCACTGGAAGAGAGTCTCCCCTGAAGGGCTGCTTCATGTCCTTATTCCAGCCCTGCAAGCCCGTTTGTGTAGCACGGAGTACACTGCTTTGTGTTTTAGATCTGGGAGCTTTTGTTTGTTTGATCTGGGGATCACCCTGGCGGTTCTCAGGAATTACTCCTGGAGGGCTCCAGCACTGTATAGGATGCCGGGGATCGAACCTGGGTCAACCGCGTGCAAGACAAACACCCTACTCGTTGTGCTATCGCTCCAGCCCTAAAACTGGGCTTTTTGATATTGCTGATTTTTTTGTTTGCTTGTTTTTGAATTGCGTCCAGCGATGCTCAGGGGTTACTCCTGGTGAGGCACTTGATCACTTGATCACTTGACTTTCCGTTAATCGTCGATTTGCTCGAGCGGGCGCCAGTAACGTCTCCATTTGTCTCTGTCGCGTGCTAGTGTAGCCCAATGGCATCTGTTTGCTCTGGGAACATGAAGAGCCTCAAACCGATCGTTCATGATCTTGACGAAGAAGTCTGACCATCTGGTAGGTGGGCGGCCACGCGGTCTTTTGACATCCTGTGGAATCCAGTCGGTAACAGCTCTAGTCCAGCGGTTATCTTTAAATCTCATTACGTGACCAGCCCATCTGATTTTTGACACCTTGGCAAATGAGACAGTGTCCCTGATTCTTGATCGTCGACGGATGTTGGAACTCCGGATTCTTTCTCTCATTTGAGTGAAACGTGATATTCCAAGCATAGCTCTTTCAATTCCTCTTTGGGAGACCCGAATAGCTTTCTCATCCTGTTTGCGTAGGGTCCAGGTCTCTGGAGCACTTAGGAATTACTTTTGCTGGTACTTGGGAGATTCTCGGGGATGCTGGGGGCAGAGTCAGCCACATGAGAAATGAATGCCCTGCCTGCTGTCCTATTGCCCCAGCACTGGGACCTTAATGAGGTGGGATCTTTCTGCTTTGGGCTTTTCCATGTGGGCGCTTACCATTAAGAACCCCCAGAGGGTGTTGGGACTGGAGTGATAGCACAGCGGGTAGGGCATTTGCCTTGCACGCGGCCGACCCTGGTTCGATTCCCAGCATCCCATAGGGTCCCCTGAGCACCATCAGGAGTAATTCCTGAGTGCAGAGTCAGGAGTGACCCCTGAGCATCACTGGGTGTGACCCAAAAAGAAAAAAAACAACAAAAGAAGAGCCCCTTGAAGGCGGTGAAGACCTGTGACCCGGGATCTTTCGCAGCCCTCAGGACTCACCTGCCCAGAGAGATGCCTGCATCTGTCAGGGAGGGGCTCCCGTCCCTCCTCCGGATACCAGTAAGTATAAGCCTTCTGGCACGCCGAGACGCGCACCGTCCCCATCATGGGTTTGCCGTAGGTGTATCTGAGCCAGAAGAACAGGGAGAAGCTGAGAAATTCCCCTTAGAATTCCAAGCCAGCCTCCATGAGGGATTTCGTTCCCCTCTTCCCGTCACCACAGGCTCTGGCTGTGACAACCTTCCTCCCAGCCCTCCTCAGAGAGCACAGCCACCACCCAGGAAGACCCAGTCAAGGACAGAACACAGTGTCCCCGCGGGTTCCTGCTTCACCCACAGGGTCAAGACTTTCCGCATCACTGGGGCTGGAGCTATAGCACAGCGGGTAGGGCGTTGGCCTTGCACGTGGCCGGCCTGGGTTCGATGCCCAGCATCCCATAGGGTCCCCCGAGCACCGCCAGCAGTCATTCCTGAGTGCAGAGCCAGGAGAAACCCTTGTGCATCGCCAAGTGTGACCCAAAAAGTAAAAATAAATAAACTAAAAAAATATATAAAAAGACTTTCCACATCAGTCACGCTCCGTTAGCAAACCGTGGAGGCAGGTGCACCTGCGGAGCTGGGAGCCATGAAGAAGTCAGGCTCTGACCCAAACATCCCTCGCTCAGAACAGGAGAGCTAGTTCAGCAGACAGGGTGCTGGTTCAATCCCCAACACCCCAGAGGGTCCTCTGAGCCCTGCCAGGAGAAATTCCTGAGTGCAGAGCCAGGAGTGACCCCTGAGCACCTCTGGGCATGGGTCCCCAAACAAAAATGAAATAAAATATCCCTCCTACATCTTTTTATCGGTTGTTGGGTCACCCTAGCAGTGCTCAGGGCTTAGTCCTGGCTCTGAGCCCAGGGATCACTCCTGGCGGGGTTTGGGGACTAGATGCAGTGCCAGGGATTGAACCGGGGTCTGCCATATGGAAGGGAAGCACCCAGCCTGCACCCAGTTCTGTCCCTCTGGCTCCCAGGGCACGTCTTTTTGGTTTCAGAGGGCCACACCTGGTGGTATTCCAGGGATGCCCCTGGGAGTGCCAGAGTGGAAGGGCATGTATTGCCAGGAAAGGAACGTGGGCTTCTCACATGCCAAGTGTGAGCTTCGCGAGATCCTTGCCCACAATTTAGCCTCTGAACCCTGCCCTCCCACACTTCTGCTCCTCCAGCTTTGACCAGCCCCAGGTACAGAGCTGCTACCTCACCTGCAACAATTTTTTTGTTTGTTTTTTGGGCCACACCTGGTGATGCTCAGGGAACTATTCATAGTACCTACACATATCCATAGATAAGTACAGTACATATTCCTGACTCTGCACTCAAGAATCACTCCTGGTGGTATTCGGAGGACCCTATGGGATTCCAGGTTGGCTGCGTGCAAGGCAAACGCCCTCCCCACTGGAGTATCACATTGGCCCCTTACCTGTATCAAATTTTTTTTTATTGTGTCACCATAAAAATATTTTTTCTTTTTTTTTTATATTTCTTTTTGAGACACACCCAGCGACGCTCAGGAGTTACTCCTGGTTTTGCACTTAGGAATCACTCCTGGCAGTGCTCAGGGGACCATGTGGGATGCTGGGAATCGAACCTGGGTTGGCTGCGAGCAAGGCAAACTCCCTACCCGCTGTGCTGTCGCTCCAGCCCCCTTATTTTTGGCTTTTTTTGGGTCACACCCAGCGATGCTCAGGGGCAACTCCTGGCTCTGCACTCAGGAATTATTCTTGGTGTTGCTTGGGATAGCACAGTGGGTAAGGCGTTTGCCTTGCATGCGGCCAACATGGCAGACCTGGGTTCGATTCCTTCGCCCTTCTTAGAGAGCCCGGCAAGTTACTGAGAGTATCTCACCCGCACGGCAAAGCCTGGCAAGCTCCCCGTGACATATTCAGTATGCCAAAAACAGTAACAAGTCTCACAATTTGTTGTGAGACGTTACTGGTGCCGGCTCGAGCAAATCGATGAACAACGGGAGGACAGTGCTGCCGACAGTGTGTCACCGTGAGTACAGTTACAAAGCTTTCACGTTTGAGTTTCAGTCACACAATGATGGAACACCCATCCCTCCACCAGTGCACATTTTCCACCACCAATGTCCCCAGTATACCCCCCCACCCCGGTCATCCCAACCCTCCCCCTGCCTCTATGGCAGACAATTTCCCCCATTCTCTCTTTTGGGCATATGGTTACCTGCCACAAATCTTGACGAAGAAAGATTCCTCCGCTGTTGATAACTGCTTGGGTTCTACCACCTCCACCTTAAACTTGGGTAGCACTGGAGGGAGTAGAAAGGGAAGTGACGAGGAGGACAAGGGGGTGGACGTTGAGGGAGAGCGCACGCTGAAGGAGGCATTGAAACAGCAACAAGCTTGGGGGGTGGGGGCAGGAGCATAGCCATTGGTGCTCGTGGACTGACCCTGGCGCTGTTCCGGGGACCATGCAGTGCCAGGAGTCAAAGCCACAACTCCTGCCTGCAAACCATGTGCTCGGACCCTGGAGCCTTCTCTCCTGCACAAGTCAGCAAATCATTTACTGAATGAAAGCGACGGTTAAATCAATGAATTCAATAAATGCGGGGCTGAATTAAGGGAAATTATTTATTTATTTATTTAGATTTTTGGGGGGGTCACACCCGGTGATGCTCAGGGGTTCCTCCTGGCTCCACACTCAGGAATTACTCCTGGTGGGGCTCAGGGGACCCTATAGGATGTCGGGGATCAAACACAGGTTGGCCGTGTGCCAGGCAAACGCCCTCCCCGCTGTGCTGTCTCTCTAGCCCCTACGGGATATTATTAAGGCGGCATGCAGTGAACTGGTTTAGAGGGATTCAAAATGAGATTCATCTGTCTTCATAGTCAGTTTGATTGGACCTGCGTAGATTTTGTTTTTGTCTGGGGAGTCTCTGGCTAGAGGTGCTTAGTGTCTACTCCTGACTCTCTAGAGTGACCCCTGGCAGTGCCCGAGAGGCCATATGTGATCCTGGGAATCAAATCAGGATCGGCAACACACAAGGCAAATGCCTTAACCATGGTACTATCTCTCCATCCCAATCTGGGGTGAATTCTGAAATAAAATTACTTTTTGTGGTTGTTTTTGTTATAATGGGGGCCACATCCAGGAGCACTGGTGCGAGCCTGGGGGGGGGTGGGACAGGTGCCAGGGATGCGTCCCATAGGGGATCTCTTACTTACTAGGGATGCCAACCCCCCACTTAGCACTGTGAACCCCCACTTAGCACTGTGAACCCCCTTATCACTGTGAACCCCCGCTTCGCGCTGTGAACCCCACCTACCATACTCCTCCACGCTGAAGGTGCCAAAGGTCTTGCCCTCTGCCACGGCCACCGTGTAGGTGCCCAACGTGGTCTCGGGAGCCAGCTGGAAGGACAGGTCTGCAATGCCCAGCTCCGGCACCACGTCCAGCCACTGGGCGATTCTGTTGTTGTTGGGATCCTGTGTCCGGCGAGAAGAAGCTGCGTGAGGGGTCGTACTGCTAGAGGCCCCCGGGGAGGCAGCCTGTAGGGGTGAGGCTGTGGTCCCAGTCCCACACACCCCTCCCCTCCCACACAAAGGTGAGGCAGAGACCCCCACACGATGGGGAGAGTTGGGGGGGGCCCTGAGGCCAGGGAAGAGCTTTCTGGGTGAAGGGTCACTCTCTTCATTACAGAGCGAGGGGATTAAGTGATAGCACAGCGGGGAGGCTGTTTGCCTTGCACATGGCTGACGCGGGTTCCATCTCCGGCATCCCATAGGGTCCCCCAAGCACCACCAGGAGTGATTACTGAGTGCGGAGCCAGGGGTAACCCCTGAGCATCGAACTCTGGTTGGCCGCGTGCAAGGCGAAGGGTGGGTATGATCACCCTTCCCCCACCCCACCCCCCTGAAAAAAAGGACGTTACAGAACGAGGTTCTCTCCTCTAAGGCCTCGTCCTTCTCTTTAGGAAGAAAAGGGTGTGGAGGATTGAGAGGATCTGACTGTGACCACACAGCATTTCTACTTGGTTCCTATTTCGTGTTTGCTTTGGTTTGGAGGGAGGCCCCTCTGCAGTGCTCGAGGGCTGTCCAGGGCCCCTGCAGTGCTGGCGCTCAAACCCTGCTCTCTAGCATACAAGGCACAGGCTAGCCCCACAGAGTCATCTCCTATCCTTCCTTGGTCCCTGGGAAGGGACAGTGCTGATGAGCCAAAGCACAGGACAGTGGGGAGGCATTTGCCTTGCCTTGCCTAGCTGACCCCGGCTCAATCCCCGACATTCCATAGGGTTCCCTGAGCTCCACCAGGAGGGATCCCTGAGTGCAGAGTCAGGTGTCAAGCCTGAGCACAGCTGGGTGTGGCCCCAAATCACACACACACACACACACACACACACACACACACACACACACACACACAGAGTGCTGAGGGGTTGGACTATATCTGCTGGAAAGACAGAAACGCAGGGGAGGTGATGGGAAAAGCCCCCGCCCAGTCCCCTCCCTTCACCAGCTGAGAGTCTAAATCAGTCTCTGCTGGGGACTGAGTACCAAGGAAAAGTACTTAGTGCTGAGAGCTAAGTACTGGTACTTAATCCTGAGGACTGAGAGAAACCTGGCACAGTCTGGGGGTGGTGGCACAGGTCAGGTCCTTATTGCAGGAGCTACGGCCCGTGGTGCCGGACAGCAGAGGCCAGAGAACAGCCCGGCTAGAATCGTGAGTCACTCAGTATCCAGGCAAGGCGTCCGGCTCTGGACTGGGATCTCAGAATCGTTTCTGGCTCCTCGCTGGAACCCCAGAGGCACCTTCTTCCTCTCCCCCAACGGACAGGAGAGAAAGAGAAACTCGGACGTACCTGCAGCTCCACCAGCGAGTACTGAAAAAAGAAAAGAGACTGTGGTTAAAGCAGGATCTTCCCACGAGAGAAGATTGACCAAAGCAAAACACTCGCAAAGATGTTCTTGGGGGTCTGGAACAACAGCACAGCGGGGAGGGTGTTTGCCTTGCACGCCGCCGACCAGGGTTCGATTCCCAGCATCCCATATGGTCCCCCGAGCACCGCCAGGAGTAATTCCTTTTTTTTTTTTTAATTTTCTAGCACTTTATTTAAATGAAAGTCAGTTAATTTTATACACGATGTCTGATCTCTTTTGTCATGCTGAGTGCTTTCTAGTTTGAATAGATTCCTCTTTGAACTGACTCCTAGATTCACTATAGGAAGGAAGAGAAGAGGGCCACCTTTGTTAGGCATTTGTAGCATAAGACAAAAATTGCTTTATTTGCCAATAGAGCAAAGAGTGGATCAAAACTTTTAAGCAGGCCTTGTCTTCAATACATCTTATGGAATTTGGCCTGATGTTGAGATCTTTAATCCATTTTTTTCCCTAATAATAGTATTTTATTTTTATTTATTTATTTATTTATTTTTATTAGTGAAACACCATGAGGTACAGTTATAGACTTATAAATTTTTGTGCTTGGGCTTCAGTTATACAATGATCAAGTACCCATCCCTCTACCAGTGCCCATCCTCCACCACCACGGGTCCCAGCATCCCTCCCACCCCCCATCCCCCTGTCCCACCTGTTCTCTCTCTCTTCTTTTGGGTACTGTGCTTTGCAAGAGAGGCATTGAGTGGCAATCATGTTTGGTCTATAGGCTACTTTCAGCATGCTTAGGAGTAATTCCTGAGTGCATGAGCCAGGAGCAACCCCTGTGCATTGCCGGGTGTGACCCAAAAAGCAATAAATAAATAAGTAAATACAACTGAAAGGATACTCTAAGGGCCACTAGAAGAGCGGAAAGGGCACAGAATCAGGAGTAAATCCTGGGCACCGCTGGCTGTGTCCCCCATAAAAAAGAATCTTTCTTCTTGCTCCTTTCTACCTCCCCCCAAAAGTTCTTTGCCAGAGGAATCACAAGAGTACATCAGACAAAGGACTCAATTTCATCTATCCAGGATATATAAAAGCTCTCACAAAGCCCAGCGCCAAAGACACCCATGACCCCATCCAAAAATGGGGAGAGGAGGAGAGGAGATACTTCTGCACAGAGGACTTAAGCATGGCCAATGAGTAAATAAAAAGAATTCACTGTCACTTAACAAGGAAGTCCAAATCCAAGCAACCATAAGATATCTCCCTCCAGCGAGGATGGTAGATGTCAAGGAGAGTGACTGCACTCATTTGTGGAATATAAAATAGCATTATATGAGGCTGACACCCAAGGACAGTAGACACAAGGGCCAGGAAGATTGCTCCAAGGTTGGAAGCCTGCCTCATGAGCTGGGGGAGAAGGCAGCTGGGATGGAGAAGGGATCACTAAGTCAGTGATGGTTGGAGGGATCGCTCAGGATGGGAGATGTGTGTTGAAAGTAGATAAAGGACCAGGGGCTGGAGCAGTAGCACAGCAGGTAGGACGTTTGCCTTGCATGCGGCCGACCAGGGTTCGATTCCCAGTATCCCATATGGTCCCCTGAGCACCGCCAGGAGTAATTCCTGAGTGCAGAGCCAGGAGGAACCCCTGTGCATCGCCGGACGTGACCCAAAAAGCAAAATAAATAAATAAATAAATAAATAAATAAAAATTAAAAAATGAAAGTAGATAAAGGACCAAATGTGATAGACTCTTGGTATCTATATATCTATATTGCAAACCATAATGCCTCAAAGTAGAGAGAGAGTATGGGGAAAATTGTCTGCCATAGAGGCAGGGGGAAGGTGGGAAAGGGGGAGTATACTGGGGACATTGGTGATGGAGAATGTGCACTGGTGGAGGGATGGGTGTTTGATCATTGTATGACTGAAACTCAAACATGAAAGCTTTGTAACTGTAGCTCACGGTGATTCAATAAAAAGGGGGAAAAAAAAGAATAGTAAAGGGCCAGAGAGATAGCACTGTGAGCAAGGTGTTTGCCACACATGTGGCCAACCTGGGTTCGATCTCCAGCACCTCAGATGACCCCCTGAGCATCACCAGGACTGATCCCTGAGCACAGAACCAGGAATAAGTCCTGATCACCACGGGGTGTGGCCCCCAAATCAACAATAATGAAACAGAGGAAACAACCACTGTGGTGAAAAAGGTGACTGGATTTAGAATTAAAGTTGCTTTTTTCTCTTTCTAATGTGTCTGCTAAGTCCTTGGCTTGCTCAAGTGGTCTGAGAAGGCAGAAGGAAAGAGAGATGTTTTCTTCCATCCTGACAAACACATGAGCTGTCACTGGGGGGAGGAAGAGAAAACAGGAGAATCTCAGGAGCAGGTAGAAGAGACGCATCTCCTAAACTGAGATCAAACTTATTACAGGCTTATGATTCTAGGAACCAAGTTGTTCTAAGAAAAATGTAGGGCTGGAGTGACAGTATAGTGGGTAGGGCGTTTGCCTTGCACACGGCCGACCTGGGTTCAATCCCCGGCATCCTATAGGGTCCCCCAAGAACTGCCAGGAGTAATTCCTAAGTGCAGAGCTAGGAGTAACCCCTGAGCATAGCTGGGTGTGACCCCCACCCCCCCCAAAAAAAAACTCGAAAAGAAAATAAAAATGTAACAGAGAGATAGTACAGTGGGTAGGGCGCTTGCCTTGCATATGGTCAACCCGGCTTCGATCCCCAGCATCCTATATGGTCCCCTAAGTACTATGGGAATAATTCTTGAATGCAGAGTCAGGAGTAATCCCTAAGCATCACCAAGTATATCTCACTTTCCATTCCCAACCCCAAAGAAAAATATTTAAGTATTTGCCAAAGGGTACAGCATTTATGAATTTGGCATATATGTCCATTTTTTTGGAGGGGGGGTCACACCCACCAGTGCTCAGGGGCAGCTACTCCCTCTTCTGTGATTGGGGGTTGCTCCTGGTGGTGCTTGGGATGGCACATGGTGTTAGGGGCCCAACCCAGACTTTCTGCCCACAACACATGTGTTCACCCCTTGGCTCTCTCTCTCTGTCTGACCCCTGGTATGTATGTTTAAATGATTTTAAGAATTGCCTTATTTAGGGGTCAAGAGATGGTACAGTGTGTAGGCTGCTTGCCTCACACCTGGTAGACCTGGGTTCAACTCTCAGTGCCATATCTGGTCCCCAGAGCCCTGCAAGGAGTGAGTGATTGCTGAGCGCAGAGCCCAAGTAAGACCTGGGCATCATCAGGTGTGGCCCAAAAACCAAAACCAAAACCAAAAGTAAAAGAGAGAGAGAGAGAGAGAGAGAGAGAGAGAGAGAGAGAGAGAGAGAGAGAGAGAATCACCTATTTTATGGGCTAGAGCAGTAGTACAGTGGGTAGGGTGTTTGCCTTGCACACAGCTGACCCAGATTTGATTCCCAGGACCCCATTTGGTCCCCCAAACCCTTCAGGAGTGAACTGAGTCCAGAGCCAGGAGTAAACCCCGAGCACAGTCAGGTGTGGCCCCAAAACACACACACACACACACACACACACACACACACACACAAACAAGAGAATTGCCTACTTTTTTTTGTTTGCTTTCGGTTACACCTGGCGATGCTCAAGGGTTATTCCTGGCTCTGCACTCAAGAACCACTCCTGACAGTGCTCGGGGGACCATTGGGGGTGTCAGGGATTGAACCCAGGTCGGCTGCATGCAAGACAAACACTCTACCTGCTGTGCTATCACCTTGGCCCTGAGAATCGCATACTTTATAAACTCTTGCTTTGTAGGTAAAAAAAAAAAAAATAACGTGATAGGAATGAATAGTCATTTTTTCCTTTCGCTCCTTAATAGTCATAGTGTGTGTGTGTGTGTGTGTGTGTGTGTGTGTGTGTGTGTGTGTGTGGTATAATCTAATATTTGAATGGCAAAATCATTCAATGTCATTCCTGGAAAGAACGTCTTAGAAGTGTAAAGCACCTTGTCAGAACCAGGTCTCAGGAATGCAGCAGGGTGGCTTTTCACAGGTGTCAAACCAGTGGGACAGGCCCAGGGTTTTAGGCAAAGGCTTGAGAGAATCTCCATTTGTACCCCAGACTCAGTCCAATTTCTCCAAGTCTCACGCCTCCCACAGCAAAGGGGAGGACCTCTCTATCTGGTCCAGAAATTCTCATCTCCCCTCTCATTCCGCCCTCCTCCTTCCCTCTGCCTTCTCCCCTGTTCCAACCCCTTCCCTTTCTTACCTTCTCATTCACTGGAGCAAACTGGCTGTCCAGGGTCACGATGCGGAAGTTCACTGCAGGAGAAGAGGCGTCCTTAGCAAAGGGGATTGAGGGGATTTATTCCTCTTGCTCACAGTCTTTCTTTCTGAGCCAGAGACTCAGAAAAGGCTCAAAGGGCTGGCATGCATGCTTTTTTTTGGGGGGGGGGTCACACCCAGCGATGCTCAGGGTCAGAAAGACAGTACAGGGATACCCTGGCACCACCCCATACGGTCCCTGGAGCACTGACAGGAGTGATCCTTGAGTGCAGAACCAGGAGTCAGACCTAAGCATCACTGAATGTGCCCTCCACACACACACACACACACACACACACACACACACACACACACACACACCACAATCAACAAAACTTGAGGAGCTGCAGACAAGCACAGCAATCCAGTGCCATATGCCAAATCCCACCCTGGAAGAAGACATGCGGGTTTGTTGTTATTCTTTTCATTTTGAGTCACACCTGGCAATACTCAGGGGTTCCTCCTGGCTCTGCACTCGGGAATTACTTCTGGCAGTGGTCAGGACTTACTCCTGGCTCTGCATTCAGGTATTACTTCGGGCAGTGCTCAGGGGACCAGATCGGATGCCAGGAACTGAACCCGGGTTGGCATCGTGCAAGGCAAGCACCCTGCCCGCTGCACTATTTCTCTGCCTCCCCCCGCCCCCCGCCCCGTCCCCAAGATGTGTGTTTTGTAACAGTTCCTCACATAGTAGTTAGTCCACCCACTTCGCCCACGCTTTCGGGACACGCACACAGTCAACAGCCTGAGTCCTTCACGCCTCCACACCTTCTTCTCCTAGGATCCCTTTGATCTGCCACCAAACACAAAGTCCAAACCCAGCCAAAGCGAGAGTACAGCGGGGAGGGCATTTGCCTCACATGCAGCCAACCCAGGTTCAATCCCGGCATCCCATATGCCATATCCGAGCACTGCCAGGAGTAGCCCCTGTACATCGCTAGGTGTGAACAACAACAAAAACAATCGTCCAACCCTCCTACCCACCATCATCCTTGGCCACCTGCGGTCATCCCCTCCCTTCCCTGCTTCTGACCTCGCTGTCCGGGGCTATAGATAGGCTTGTCGGTCTGTATGAAGACTCCATTCCCCTGCCTCTGGATCAGAACTTTCTTCTTCTCTTCAAAGTGGATGTTTTCTCCGCTGGCTGCCACCCGGACTGTGGCCACTTCCTCCAGGCCACCCGCGGGAGGTGGGACCTGGAAGAGAGAGGAGGTCCTGAGGTGCAGTTGGAGGTTGGGGAGATGGACTCAAATGAGCTCCGTCCCGATGGAGTGGACGGAGGTAAAACACCAGAGTGGAGGAGGCAGAGGCAGGGAGCACTACAGGCTGTCGGGAGATGAGAACCAAATCATCATGGGAAAAGGTTAAGGGGTGGGGGGGCTCTGGCCAGGAGGTGAAGGTAGGGGCAAGAGCTGGCCTACAAGTTGGTGCATAAATAAGCCAATAGGGGGGCTGGAGCGATAGCACAGTGGGGAGGGCATTTGCCTTGCACACGGTCAACCCGAGTTCGATCCCCGGCATCCCATATGGTCTCCCGAGCACCGCCAGGAGTCATTCCTGAGCACAGAGCCAGGAGTAACCCCTGTGCATCATCGGGTGTGACTCAAAAAGCAAAATAATAAAATTTAAAAATAAATAAATAAGCCAACAGGTATTCAATTTTGATTCCAGAGTGCTGAGGCCAGACAGTGGGAAGGGCATTTGCCTTACACATGGCCGACCTGGGTTCGATCCCTAGCATCCCATAGGGTCCCCCAAGCACCAGCAGGAGTAATTCCTGAGTGCAGAGCCAGGAGTAACCCCTGAGCAATGCCGGTGGGACCCAAAAAGAACCCTGCCTCCCAAAAAATGATTCCAGAGAGTTTAAGGCATAGGCAGAGAAAGGGGAATGAGGCTTAAGGGTGGGGCTGAGTTCAAAGTTTACCAGAAAGGAGATGCAATGTAAGTGCCTCTTCTTCAATCCTGAGTGTTCCAACAACTTCTGGACCTTGTCCTTGGTCTCCAAAGTAATAGAAAACTTGACATTACAGTACCCAGGGCTAAGATCCAAGCAGACCTTCTGAGTAGAGGGGAAATTGAGCTGGGCTGGTAAGGTGACCAGGTAGGTTCTGTGATGGAAGAGAAAGGATTTCAGGACTCCGTTCAACAAAACCTCAGCATCCCTGCATCCCGCGGGGAAATTCCCCAGATTGAGCCCCGCTTTCAGGAGCCTTTCTTGTCCCCAGGGAGAAGCATCCAGGGACAATGAACAGAGTGACAATGAACCACACAGCCTAAACCTCCACCCCTTCCGCCCCCAGACACAACTAAGGAGGTCATCAGCGAGGATCTTGGACAAGGGTACCCAGGAAGGGACCAAAAGAATAGTACAGCAAATAAGGGGCTTGCCTTCCATGTGACCAACCTGGGTTTCATCCAAGGCATCCCATATGGTCCACTGAGCACTGCCAGGTGTGATTCCTGAGCACAGAGCCAGGAGTAACCTCTGAGCATCTCCAAGTGAGGCCCAAATACAACAACAAAAAGGGTACCCGGGAAAACACAAGTTTTGTTACAGAGAACAAGAGTTTACTCTCTGTGATATTGGTGGTAGTGTGTGGTGTGTGTGTGTGTGTGTGTGTGTGTGTGTGTGTGTATACGGGGGAGGGTATCACTCCCTCATGCAATTTCTCCCAGCCTGATGCTCAAGTTTGCTCCTGGGTGCTGAAAAACTGGAGTTGGAACCCAGAGCTCTTGCATGCAAAACAGGCTATTGAGCTGTCTGGTCCTATTCTTTTTTTTCAATATTTAATTTTTCCAAGTGGGGGGAGCCACACCCTGCGGCGCTCAGGGCTGACTCCTGGTAAGACTTGGGGACCTTATGAAAGATGCTGTGATCCAACCCAGGTCGGCCAGCACCCAACCCCGCTGTACTGTCATTCCCCTCACCACCTCCCCCAACCCCGATATTCTAGTTTTTGAAGCTTCCTCTCGGTGACTCGGCTTTGCTGTCTGGATAACAGAGGCAGGAGAACCAAAGGAAGATTCACATCACCTAAAGGTGCATCTCCTCTATATATGCCGGAGAAGGAGATCCCAAGAAACCACCTGCGCCCTAGGTCCAGCACTTACGGGAGTTTGTCGGTGCTGACTGGCGAGAGGGCCAGCATCCCCAGAAGGAGCTGGACCCACATCTCAGTGGATGGGACGGTCCACAGCTCCCAAGCTGAGCTCCAGCATCCAGGACCGCGCCCGGGCGGCAGCTTCATTATCAACCCTCGCTCCTGGGGCTCTAACCAATGAGGGTCAAGGCCCCGAGTTCTTCAGCCAATCACCTTCGGGGCCCCGGAACTCTCCCGCCAATCACAGTGAGGGCCCCGGGCTAAGGCGGCAAAGCAGGGCAGGGCCCCGTGAACTTGCACATTCACGCTGACTCAGCCGTCTATAATACCAGTTTAGAGGTGAATCCCCAGCTCAGTATTCTCAGACGTCAGGTTCTCACCACGCATTTCAGACTACTCCCATTTTTGTAAATTATTTATTTATTTATTTATTTGCTTTTTGGGTCACACCCAGCGATGCCCAGGGGTTACTCCTGGCTCTGCACTCAGGAATTACTCCTGGCGGTGCTCGAGGGACCATCTGGGATGCTGGGAATTGAACCTGGGTCAGCCGCGTGCAAGGCAAACGCCCTACGCGCTGTGCTATCGCTCCAGCCTTTTTTTTTCTTTAAATCGTTTTATTTTCTTTTTTTTTTTTTTTTATCTAGTTTCATTCCAAATCCTTATTCTCTCTAGATCCTTTTCTCTCCTACGTAGGCCACGGTGACGTAGTTTTGAACACAGACATGGATGCATGGAGTCTTCGCTGAGAATTAGTCTGCCTCTGCTGATCTGGGAATTAAAAAAATTTCTTTTTAATTACTCAACGTGATCAGGTGACCCAAAGTTCGCAGAAAAGCAGGCGGTGGCAGGTCATCTGCAGGGAAGCAGGATGAGGCTCTACCCAGGACTGTGCTTAGAGGCCAGACTAGGTACCTGTCACGCATCACTCTTTTCAGCTGCCAAGTGAAAATATCCTTGAGCAGTGAACCTAGAAGGTTCACTTCTAGGTACAGCGTCTGGCTTCTGTACTGGAATGGGTTTTGCTTGCTTTAGCTGATGGGAAAGTTGATTGATGCCACCACAATACAGAAAGGGGTAAGGAATGTTTAAAACGTGGCCTGGACTTCGGTTCAACTGTTGAGACCCTTGTTCTCAGGCTGGGTGATCCCTGCAGGTTAACGAAGACTCTTCAATTTGGTTAACGAGAATGTTCCAGCCTTCTTGACTAATCTTTCACCCCGTGACACTCAATATTGTCACAAGTGCATGGAAGATCAAGCGGCGAGCACAAGAGACTGAACACGTATAAATTGCTTGTGGGAGTTGGGAGTTCGTTCTGGGCACTGCATGGTCACCCCCAGCATAGAGGTGGGTATAGCCCTCTCTTAAAACCAAAATGGAAAAAAAAACTGCATGGAAATAAGAACAGAGACACACCTTGAGATGATCTCAATGATTTAAATGGTCAGGGTGATTTCACAATATGTTTCAAAAGCCTTCGTGGTTTGTAAATCCTTTCAACCAGCCGTTCATTTTCTAGAACTGTCTTCTGAGTAGAGTGCATCCCACATGCATGCCAAAAAACATAGCTTTGCTGAGTTTCTTCACAGGTCTCTTGAGTTTTTGTAATTATTTTTATGACATAGGGGCCACACCCAGCCATGCAGGGAAGGGCTGTGCAGATGCTGTGCATAGCAGATGGTGCTCAGAGGTAATCTGGACAACATATGTGGTGTTCAGGTGGCCATGTGGTGCCAGGGGTCAAACTCGGGGTCTTCTGAGCCTGACCTGTGCTCTACCACTGAACTTCTTCCCAGGCCCACAGTGCTCTGTGTAATGATAAGACATGAAAGGTATCCAGGGACACACAAAAGGATCTCTAAACTGAGCAGCTCACTGCAGAGCTGCCTCCAGACTTTAAGCCAGGCTGACTTCATGGGGTGCCTCAGATGGGGGTGGGCGTTGTCCCTCCAACTGCCTCCTAAGAACCCCAGTGGCCGCCAACTTCCAGAACCCAATGAGAAGTGCAGGTACACAGGTTCAGTGACTGTAAACTCCAGGCCTCAAGGGATAGGGGATGGACCGATCCTTCTCATCTCCTCATCCCTATGGGACCCTGGAGGTCACACCCACAAACTGCCTCCAGCTGCTACTTAAGCTTCTCCAGGACCATGATCCCAGAGACACACAAAAGAATCTCGGAACTGAGCAGCTCGCTGCAGAGATTTCTCCAGACCCTAATTATCTAAAATTTTAGAATTCCAGGAGCACGTAGCTCTGAGACTTCTTACGCTATTCAAAATAAGCAATACAAAAGAGAGTATGGGGAGATTGTATGCCATAGAGGCAGGGGGAGGGGTGGAGATGGGGGGATACTGGGGACATTGGTGGTGGAGAATATGCAATGGTGAAGGGATGGGTGTTCAATCATTGTATGTCCAAAACTCAAACATGAAATCTTTGTAACTGTATCTCATGGTAATTCAATAAGAAAGAAAGAAAGAAAGAAAGAAAGAAAGAAAGAAAGAAAGGCACCCAGATAGTAGGGCACTTGCCTTGAATGCTACTGACCCAGGTTTGATCCCCGACACCCCATTTAGTCCCCTAAATCCCTCCCGGACTTATCCCTGAGCTGAGAACCAGGAACAAGCTCTCAGTACTGTGTGATATGGTCCCAAAACAAAAACAAAAATCAGCAAAAGAAAGAAAGAAAGAAAGAAAGAAAGAAAGAAAGAAAGAAAGAAGAAAGAAAGAAAGAAAGAAAGAAAGAAAGAAAGAAAAGGAAAACACCCAGAGTAAAGATGGGTGAGATTGTTTATTTGCTGGCCAAGAAAACTCAGATCAACCAGACTGAAACAAAAGCTTTTGGTAACTGGGGTGGGTCAGATGAGCAGAAGGAAGAAGCCAAAGACACTCAAAGATTATTTTCCTCCCCCCCAGGTACTGCACCTGATGATGCTCAGGGCTTACCCTTGTCCCTGTTGTCAGGGATAACTCCTGACGTGGCTTGGGAGACCCCTGGCAGTTCGGTAGTGGCTGTGATGTGGTGACACTGTACCTCTAAAATATAAAATCATTTGCATTCTTGGAAACCAACCTTACTGGTTATTAGAGGCAGGAATTCTAAGAAATTATTCTCCAAGGCCTGGGCATTAAAACCCACCCGAGGCTGAAACTAAGGAAAAGAACAGAAATCCCCTCTACCTGTTTTGTGTTCCTCTAGCAAACATCAAAGAACAAATTTCAGCAGTGTGCTATGGGCCAGGGGCAAGAACACGGAGCTACAGGTAACTGGGGAGGTTAAGGGAAGAGGCTAGAGACCAAAGCCTGAGAAAACCCTCCAGCCACCCAGACCCCACCCAAGCCTAAGCCATTCCCAGCACTACTTGCAGTCGGCGGTTACTCAGATATGAGCAACACCTGAATCCAGCTCACCTTTTAGTTTTTATGGCTTGGGTGGAGAGTGAGTTAAACTCAGGGCTTGATCCTGCCTCTGTGCTCACTGGACCACTCAGTGGTCACTCCTGGCAGTCCTTGCGGTACCACATGCAGTGCCATATGCAGTGTCTTACCTCTGGTCTGTACCATCTCTCTGGTCGCTTCAGGTCACCTTTAAACTAGGTCCACTGGGGGGACTGGAGCAATAGCCCAGTAGGTAGTGTGTTTGCCTTGCATGTGGCCGACCTGGGTTCGATCCCAGCATCCCATATGGTCCCCCAAGCACTGCCAAGAGTAATTCCTGACTGCAGAGCCAGGAGTAACCCCTGACCATCACCGGATATGACCCAAAAAAGCAAAAATAAAGTAAACTAGGTCCACTGGAGCTGGAGTGATAGTACAGTGATAGGGCACTACTTGCCTTGTGTTCAGTGGACCCAGCATCCCATGTGGTCCCCATCCCATATGGTTCCCAGATCACTTCCAGGAGTAATTTCTCCTGCAGAGGCAGGAGTAAACCCTGAATATTGGTGGGTGTGACTCCCAAACAGACAAACAAACAAACAAAAAACCCTTTTTCTTTTTGCCTGCATAATTTAACAAAAGAGGGGAAGGAGGCAGAGAGGGCAGAAACAATCTCCTGTTGTTAATTTACAAAGTCAGGGAGATGGCCGAAAAGAAATACTTTGTTTTGAATTGGGAGCCCAAGATTTGATCCCCAACACCATAGTCTTGTAGCAAGGCAGGGGTCCCCAGAAAACAAAAATGAAATAAAATGATGATGAGTCTATACATTAAGGGATCGGGGCTAGAGCGATAGCACAGCGGGCAGGGTATTTGCTTTGCATGCGGCTGACCGGGATTCGTTCCCCAGCATCCCATATGGTCCCCCGAGCACCACCAGGAGTGATTCCTGAGTGCAGAGCCAGGAGTAACCGCTGAGCATTGCTGGTTTGACCCAAAAAGAAAATAAATAAATAAATAAAGGATCTCATGGAAAAGGCCTACAATATCTGTGAACACATGGGAGACTTCAGAAGAGGAACAAACTTAACTAGAAATGCTGAAATTAAGAAAAAGGAGAGAGGTGAAGCCTCTTCCTCGGGTTCATAAGTAAAAGGACACAGCTGAATCTGCCCTGAAGACAGACCAGTGGAAATAACCCAAGGTGAAACAGAGAGAAAATATCAATTAAAATAATTAAGAATTCTTTTTGGTTTGTTTGTTTTTGTTTTTTTGGGTCACACCCAGCAATGCTCAGGGATTACTCCTGGCTCTGCACTCAGGAATTATTCCTGATGGTACTCAGGGGACATATGGGATGCTGGGATAGAACTCAGGTAAGTCGCATGCAAGGTAGACACCCTACCCACTGTACTGTTGCTCTGGCCCCAAGAATTCTTTTTAAAGAAAAGAAAGAGAAAAAAGAATGGGGGAAGGGGGTTAAACTGGGTGTGGCCTAAAAGCACCCTCCCAAAAAAAAGGTATAAATCCAGCAACCTGTACCCAACACTTTCCATAACAAAAGGGGAAAGAATTTTTCAGTCAAATAAGCAGAATTTTCTGTCAACAGATTTGTGCCTTAAGCAATTCATTCATTCATTCATCATCCTGTTATTCGTCGATTGCCTCGATTGCCTTGAGCAGGCCCC